ACCATGATAGATTTGAGTACGCCAGGGTAACTTGAGCGCCGCAACAAATGTTAAGACCCTTTTCCCCTGGAATCCTGCAAGTGAAAGAGCACCTGCGAGGTGGTCAATGTTCACACCTGCAAGCCTTCGTAATATCGCAATAAACAGGGGTGAACATTGACCGTGTCGCACCTGCCAGACAAAACGTAACCATAAATCTGACCAAAGTGATCTGCTCTCGTGTTTTGCTACGCCGTTCCAGGAGGGCAACACATTCGTCCTCCTCAAACATATGCACGCATGTATATACACACTTGCGTATGTATATCACTTTCTCTCGCTCTCTAAGATTCTACATTCTACATCTATATATCTATGATGCGTGTGCTCATACGTACACGTATATAATATATCAACATCTATATCGATAGCATACACATCTATGTTAACTAACATATGTATATATATACACACTATATCTATATATATACACATTATGATACATTATGCATATCACTTCCTGCGCGGATTGGCCAAACAAAGCAACCAGACTTTCTATTTACCACCAAAATGGTCCAACCCCAAACAGTGACTAAAGCCCGAAACGGAACTCAGGAAGTGAGATATACATATGTTCATACTGTGGATGGACGAAAACCCTTCGCACAACTTTGAACCTATGCGAAACAGTTATGTGTTGGTATTTACGTTGGGGAATCGAATCAGAAATTGATGGGTTTCTGAACCTTGGCGCGATTTCTGGATTTCGCAACCCTCCACAGTACGTATATATAGATATCTATATATATATATATGTAGAAATACATGTAGTATATCAACATCTCTATCTATAGGCATACACACACATATACACCGCCTCGCCTCGATGGTCTCTTCGTCCAGCATGGCGCTCATCCAGCTGTAGGACTGGCACCGATGAAGGAAACCGACGCTTTGCCGACTTTCCCCAACAAGTTCTTCTTATGTCTCCATGACCCCTAGACAAAGGGGTGATAATTATGATAACCCCTGAGGTCTCGGGGGTTGCTGCATATTTCTTGGTTGAGTCAAAGGGCAGCAATGGAGCATTCTAGACACGTTTCCATGTCCATTTCCATGGATCCGAATCTTTTCAGGAAGCCATCAAAAACCCCTGTGAAAACAGCGATCGGTTATTGAAAAGAACGATGGTTCCAAAGAACGGGGAATCAAACCTAGATCAACCGGGAGCCGTGTAGGGTTCAAAGTTTGGGCTCAAAGGAATTTGTCCCAGGTTCAACAGGGACCTAAGTGGCTTTGGGACATAAATCGCCACCTAAACTCACAGGCAGATTGTGTATGTGAACCCATGGCCAGACACCAAGAGGGCACTGATTCCCCATGACTGATAAACTAGGGGTTCATTTATGGGCATATAGATTCAGCCTTAACCTTTTGCGCACAAGAGGAGAAGTCTAAAGATCCCGACCCAGCAGTAGAGTATCCATCTCTATATACTTCACATATATATATATATATACATATTATACCCGTGTATATCTATATCATCTAATATGGGTCTGAATAGATCCCCACAAGACATACGATTGTTTGGGCCTCTTACTTGGGGCTATGAGTTTTCCGTTTCTTCTTGCTTTAGGAAGGGTAGGGGGTTCTTATCTTGTGAATTGTCAAGTGAAAGGGGAGGTAGGCAAAAACCGCAGCTTTTCAGTTACATGTATTGGGATGTGTTTTGTGGCATGGTGCTTAGGTTCTTGTTTGAGCAAATGCTGTTAGGCCATTGAGTCCTTGCTTTTGTTCACATTGTGGGTTGTTTCCTTGGTTACAGGAAACACCTGGACTACATTGTAGAAATTCCCCCCCCCCCCCCCCCGCATACGCACTAATGTTTGCCTATGATTTGTCAACTGAAAGAGGCACCACCTGTTGGTTTCCTTAAAATCACCCAACAAAGGGTAACCTCAAAAAAAGGACATACCCAAATGGTAAACGGTTCTTCAGCTTCTCATGAGGGACTAATTGGCGGTGTGGTTGGTGCTCAAGGGAAACCAAAGGAAAACAACTCATTCTTGGACGGCCGCCAATCTTCAGGCACACCCAGGAGAGTCAGAATCAAACGCGGTATCTGACCTGAGGTGACTGCACACAAAAAGTTGAACAACTTGGCGGCCACTAAAACATGAAAATTATGAAGATACCTGACAGGAAAATGTGCTACAAGTTTCTCTAAGTTACTAGGGAAGGCAAACATTTCCACCAAGAACCATGCAAATAATTACCATGGGGCGGCCGCTGTTTGCCGTTGATTGGGTACCCTTTTCTGTTGTTTTCAAAGGGAAACCAAAAAACACACACACAATCTTTGTGGGTCCCCTAGAAAAGACAGCAAGTGAAGGGTTCTCTAACAAATGAAGCAACCGCCTTTTTCTTAATCAACTTGGGCTGTATGAATTCCGGGCTCCGATAGCTTCCGCCTCTTGGAAGCTGGCTGTGCACTTGCTGCTGGCATGACCTGAAGTGCCAATGCTCCCATCCAGCAGTGAACACTTGAAAACCCTCCAGACAAGCTGTGTCAGCTTAAAACAGACAGAGTCTTACTCAGAACCAGTGGCTAAGTGTCCAAACTTTGAGGTTGCCACATGGTCTTCCCTAAGAGTTTAATTTCAGGAGCTCAGACAGCAAGCTGTTCTATCAGATGGCATGACGTCTTGCGAGATTCTTCGCTAGCTGATTCCATTGTTTACAATGCCTCTAGAGAGCCCGTAACCTCCAAATACCCTCTTGCAGGGTGTGTCAACCTCTGACGAACAAACACGAGGTACCATGCCAAACTGGCATTTCCAAACACGACTTTCAAATTGCGGGCATTGGGCGTACAGGGAACCCGGTCCCGCCCCCCCCCCCCCACCCCATCACATACCCACATGTTTGTCCCGGTCCATCAGAAAAGAAACGAAACACACAAAGGCAAGCACATAGAGCCCTTGGGGCCTGGATTTTGGCTTGATAGGCTCAAGGCCCCTCGAAGTATTCCATTCACTTTGGGTCCAACCGCGGGCTCCCTTGGTACTTGTTGGAGTCTCCACGACCCTTTAAACATGACCTCACTACCCGAAAATTCAGAGGTTTTCCTAGGGGTACCTTCCAATTCCATTCTTTCCAGGCATCCGAATCTTTCTGCAAAACCACCCCAAACCCTGGGGAAACAGCTGGTTTTTGAAAAGAACGATGGTTGAAAAGAATGGAAAGGGAATCAACCCCTAGAGTTCTGTTATGTATTTGTGTGTGTTTTGCCCCTCCCATTTTTCCTCGTCATCCAAGGCGGTGGCTGGGGCTGCAGTGATCCCGGCGCCGGCGGATGGCCAACATTTCGGAGACCTCGGATGGCCGAGATCGGCGCGCCGAAGCCAAAAGACACTGGGCCCCTGTTGGGTTCCTTGAAGTGAACCTCACGTTTTGAGGTTCTGAGCACATTATTTTTGCGGATTCCGCTTGAACCAGCATGTGAAGGGTGAGTTTGAGTTCTTCAGTGGCCCTGGCAAAAAGGGAACCCATTTCGGTATTGATTTTTGGCGAGATTCCGGATGACTTTGGGGGCGAACAACTCCCTGTTGATCCGCAAAGTCCGTTAAATGCACTTTTGCGGGACAAACAAAACAACAAGCAGGCCCTACTCCAAAGACCCCACTTTGCTTATGGTATCTCTACCAGAAAAGCTATTTACCATGGAAAGCCAGGTTTGTCAGAAACCCACACACAAAAAACAAAAAACAAGTATTTGCAGCTTTCGATTCAACCGCCATTAGGGTTCCCCAAAATGGCTGATGGCATCCCCATGTGCTGTGGCCAACAGAAGCCAAGGCCCAAAGCCATGTTCGGGGCCGAATTGTTCACAACCCAAAAAGAGAGAGAAAGGGAAACCAACAGAAGATGTGGGTCCTATTTTGAGAACCCACAAACACAAAGAGAGAGAGAGAGAGAGAGAGGCCACCATTTTTTGGGGGTCCGATTCCAGAGAACCAAAAAACACAAAGAGAGAGACAGAGAGAGGCCACCATTTTTGGAAGGTATGTTTATTTGTGAACCCAAACAGAGAGGAAGCACGCTCGGGTTGGCTCTAAAAAACTCCTGTCAAGTAACAATGAGGCGCTCCCACGCAAGACGACATCCAGTTCCATGGTTTGAGGGACATTTCGTGAGGTTTCTCTGGTTCTATCTCAAAAGGGTGTGTCTTCTTTGTAGGGGGCCCAACAAAAAAACGGTGGCTTCTTTTTGGTTTCCATTTAAAAACCACCAAACAACCAAGTAGACCATAGACCATTCTGAATTTATTTCACAGCCGAACCATCTCGAGCGCCATGCGCCATTCGCTTGCTTCTATGTCCTTGGACGTGGTGTCTGTTTTCGGGGGGCACCTGACTACAAGGGTGTGTGTTGAAAGGGGAAAACAGGAAAAGACGAAGCCATTGTGTGTGTGTGTGTGTTTGTTTTGTAGACATGCCCGGATATCACGAATCTGCACCGCGACCTTTTGACGCGCGAGGCGGGTTTGCACGCGCTGGAGAAGCCAAAGCTACGTACGACCAGCCAAGTGCGACAGTCAAGCGTTTCACTTGACGCGGGGCGAACAAGAGACATTCTCAGCTTTGCGTCTCTCCAGCGTTTGCGCGGAGGAGCTTGAGTGTCTGAACCCACTACCGCTATGGCCGGACGGCCTTTAAACTACCCTCAAAAGAGAGGAGGCAAATTCAACTGTTCTCCTCTAGGAACTGACGTCCCAAAGCTCGATGGAGCTAATTCAAAAACCGCCTCACTCACACAAACACATGCAATCCACATTTGTCTTTAAGCAGCTTGTGCGTTGAGAGGCAGCGCATGAAGATAGAATACATGCAATTGGAAAATCATCAGGCACTTCTGGCCAAAAACAGCTTCCACCATCCGCACCTGTTCCCGCAACTATTCCGAAGATAACCCTTCTTCATCCATGCAGTGTCCTGATTGCATCAGCTGGTTCCCCATCAAGCTGATCCTTGAATCAGGGTGCCATTCCCCTCTTGAAACATCATGGGTCCAAGCACCTACTGTTTAAATGCCCTGCTTTTGGCTCTCCTTTTTAAAACGGGCCAGACTCGTGGCTAGAAAAAAGAAAGGGATAGGGGACCGCAAAAAATGGTTGTGTCGCTTTCTCTTTCCCTTTAAGCCAACAAAGGCTACACGCTCACTTTGCCAGCTTCTGGAGGTTATCAAGCTCGAACCCGGAAATGTTTCCCTTTGATACTGGTACAGCTCCATGGAGGTGGGAGGCAGTTCATTCGTTAAAACCCTTGCCAGGTAGCAAACCATATATACAGGACCTCGCAAAAACACCAAACACATTCCAAGAGCAAGTCTTGCCCCAACGCGCCTTGAACCAATATGGACACGGAGTCGACGAGCCGTACAGTCGTTTCTTCATCCAGCTGCACGAGCTGCAAGTGTGAGAGGACAATCGCGGCTGCCTGCAGGCTCCGTCGCATGTTGTTTGTTCAAAAAGCTCACTTCCTGAGGGATTGACCAACAAACGCCGCTTCTCCTATTTCTTCCCAAAGATCTATTCATGCAAAGAATTGCTCCTAGTCACAAGATGGTTTGCCCCTGGTACCCCTGCTGTCTCTCCCCTCTCCCTGCTTGTGGTTGCTGACTCGGACCTTGACATGGATTGTCTCCCCACTTGTCTCGCTACTTGTCTCCCTGCTCCTGTCTCGAACCTTGCCGCTATTTCCCTTCTTGTCTCCTTGCTTGTGCTTTCGGAGGGGTGGGGGGGCCGGGGGTGGGGGCCCGGGGGTCGGGGGTGGGGGCCCGGGGGTCTGGGGTGGGGGGGCGGGGGCGGCGCTGCTGACTCGGACCTTGTCAAGTGTCATGGGGCAAGACTGCGGACAGCCAGCTTTGATTGCAAGATATGGGGGGGTCGTTTGTGAGGGTTCCCTCTTTGGTTGTTTTAAACAGTTGAACGAAAAGCAAACCACCATATTTGGGTGTCACCTACAAAAGGCACACCCATATGTTTACAAGAGCGCAAAGGGTCATTGCTGGCAACTTGCGGTTCACTTGAAAGGAGCTGATTTGCGCAGTTGCTGCCTGGGCTTGGGGTCGATGCTGGTGAAATGTTGTTTGCCATGAACGCGGCCTTCCCAAGCCGTTGTTTTTGAGCTTCCCCTACCCAAGGCAGTACTTTCCAGGCCTTTGATGGGGTATGCAATCACTACTGCGCAACTGTGTAAATAGGGACTACCGTTTTGCCCTTGGGATAGCGGACACGATCTTAGGGCTTGGACACCAAAAGGTGTGCATCGAGTGTAAAAAGCAGCTCGGGGGTTGGACAATTTCTTGCAAAGTGATTCACTGGGAGGATCTTCGAAGGGTCTCACCCGTTTATTTCACTCACTTCCTGAGCAGATTGCCCAAAAAGAAGTAACCAAACTTTCTAGGAACCCCACGACCGGCTCCTTTTGGCCTTCGCGATGCTGCACTTGGCCGTGTTCACCACCGGAAAGTTTGGGAACTTCTGCATGTAGAAGCACTTCACCCAGTTCAACTCCTGAAAGCGCTGCTCTCATTGAGAAACTTCTAGGTCCTCCAGTAGAGAGGTTAGAACGGGTTAGAATAAGAGTGCCAACTTGTTTTTTCTGTAGTCTATTTTAGTAGCGGAACCCTGCCAACCAAAAAAAAAGGTTAAGAAGATCACCTAGCTGGGGGACCTAGACTTGCTGTTTCTCAGCGGGAATTGACCAAAAATCGCCTCCCAAAGACGAACACCCCCCCCATTTCAAGAGGGGATTCTCGAAGTGGTCACAGAACTGGGGATAAACCCCGAGTGATCCCACTCGGCCGGAAAGCAAACAGTTAGCAAAATGGCTGGCTCGCCGTTTTCTCGGATTTGGACCAAAACATGTTGGTTTTCCCTTTGGCCTTTTATCAAACCCACACAAAGGGGTATACTCAAAAAAGACGCACCCAAATGAATATTCGCTAAACAGGAAGCAAAACTGGTGGTTTGAAAGTCAAGGTGGAATGTACCATCAAGAACGGCACACATAGCGTGCGCGTCTCCTGAGGGGACCCTTTTCACCTCGTTGAAGGAAGCAAAAATGGATGTCGAATCAACACCGGGGCTCTTTTCTTGCTGGGAATCCCTCAATGGAAACCACAAGGGATTATTCATAGGGGTCATTCCCTCATTCCCTGCTGAGCACCAGCAAGTTTTCCAAGCCAAAAAGTCTAACCTGTAAGGCGGTTCAACGGAAAATCGGCGTTCCAAAGGGTCTAAAGGGTAGATCCACCAACCGCCGACATGAATCAACGAATGAAGGTCTAAACCCAATGCTCAAATTTCCGGCTCCACTGACCACAGGTGAAAAACGTATGTCTCCATTGGCTTTTTCGTCCCCTGGGACATATTTAGTGGAAAATGGTAACATATTCGTGCGAGGGACCCCCCCCAAAAAAGAAGAATTAAATACACAACTAAATGGTGGGCTTCCTTTTGATCTTCCCTTGAAACCACCAAGCACTGGTTTCCTCGAAAAAAGACACAGCCACATATTCTCAACAAAGCGAAAGGCATGTCGACTCGCTTGCAGCGGAGCTTCTTCTCGAATTTGGCCTAGCGCGGCGTAGTTCGAGGCTGCCACCCCCAGCCGCTTCCTAAGCGCGGCATGCGACTTTTGCACAGTTCCCTACTGTGGGCTTATTTCGGGCTTATTTGGGCTCCCACACAGCCCCCATCAAACACTAGTCACTTGTCAGTCTGCTGGAAACTGCCATTATCTCGCAGCTGAAATGATGATATTGGCCTGAGCGTAGAAAGGCAAGCGTGTTGTGGATGGGCGCAAATCCCTTCGCAGCACGAATTGAAACCATGGGTGAAACGATAAAACAGTTCTCATATTTACAGGGGCATCATCATTCCGGGTGTTTTTTGGGTGTTGCAGGATTCGTCCATCCACAGTATGTCTTCCCTTAAACATTGCCCCTACCAAGGAAAATCACTTGAAATGGCCAACAAGGTGATGAATCTGGGAAACCTATCTTGGAACGCTGATTACGGATTGACGCAGTTGGGGTTGTCGGTTGTTTTTTTGTGGTCTCCCTTCAGTTCCCTTTGAGGACTCGCCCGAAAAGGGTCAATTCAACTCGCTTCACATGGGATCCAACCCCCCTTCCCAACCACGCCTTCCACCTCTTTCCTGCCAACACGGCTTCAAGAAGGCCGTGAATTAGGTCAACACGTGTTTTTGTTTCCCCCGTCGGCGGCAAAAAGGCAATCTATCACTGGAAATATGGTTTCATTTCTTCCAGTGCAACGAACACTTTGGCACCTGGAGGAGTTCCATGTCGTTTTGTGCTGCTCTCGCGTCAGTGGAGCTTCGGGTTCACCAGACCTCGACTCACCTTCGATGGTCCAAAGAAAAAGTCGGAGCTTCTGACCACTCGACTTGCCTTCCCAAAACGAGGAAAGCCACGTTTTGGGACGCGTCCAGTTGCTGGAGTCCACTGGAGAAAAATAACACACAATATGTCCAGGAGGGATAGATTCCCTTGCAACCAACAGGGGAAACTCTATAAACGAAACATTCCCTTAAACCAACTTTTTGGAAATTCAGGAGTCTCCCACCAGGCGGGGGGGAGAAAAAGAACTGTTTTGCCCTTAAGCCAAAGGCTTGCTGGGAACTTCTGAGGCTGGGCGTCATCCTCCCTTGTCTGATGCTTTGGAGCGCTTTGGCCTCGGTGGTCAGCAGCGCCACCTTGGAGTGGCCGATCTCCGCCAGCTCCGGGGGGATACCTTCCCCTGGCACCAGGGGGTAGTTGGCCGCCCGCAGCCCCAGCTTGGCCTAGACGCCCAGAGAAATCATCAAAGTGGGTGTCTCCTTTTTTAGGGGACCCTGCCCCCCCCGCCCCACCCCACCCAACAAAAAAACAAGAAGAAGAAGCAGAAGAAGAAGAAGAAGAAGAAAAAGTGGTGGTTGTCCTTTTGGTCTTCCTTTAAACCAACCCCAAACAGGATACCATAGAACCCAAACACTCGAATCACATGTGGGCCCTTTCTGGATGGTAAGGGGAAGCGAAAAGGATACCAAGCACAAGCGGTCAAACATGAATTGATACCGCCCCTTTTAGATGGTGAAAGGAAAACGGACAGGTCATCAACCCATCTGTTTGGGGCACCTATTGCAGGACATGCACATATCTAATTTGAGTTTTACATGCTGTTAGTCTAGTAATGATGACCCTGGACAAATCCCCCTTTCTCCCTAGGGCTGTTATATTTATATCAATCAGGGGGCATCCCTCTTGGTCCCCCTTCTTCCAAAATATCCCTGATGCATCACCAGGAGTATGAATCACAGTCGTACCTTCAGTGTTTCACATGTTGCATGGTTGTGGGTCAAACATTGGTACTCAAAATGGACCATCGGTTTTCTGGCAAATAGGGCTAAAACCTGCGGTCCGTATGCTGGTGGTTTAATGTCGATCCATCAAATAACCTAAAAAGGCAAATAGCAAAACGCCGGGTTTGTGGCAAAGGGACTGTTCCCACTGTGATGCCTGGAAACCTTGCTTTGAAAGATCACCGGTTCAACCGGTCTCACAGAAGCAGGAACCATTTCACGCCGCTGAAACATGCGCAAAGACGGGGCTTCCACTACCCCCAACACCACTATGTTTCTTTCAAACACGATATAGACACTTTATATCAAGCGCAAGCCTCAAATTTCCCCCAAAAGGGTCGACTAAAGCATTAACTGAGCTGTCCCCAGATCCCCTGCTAAAAGTTTAGCTTTTCGCGGGTTAAATGGAAACCCAACGACTAAGCCAAAAAAAGGCTAAAACACCAAAGGGGACGAACCAAGTTCAGTCTGGCAACTAGGTACTTGGCCAAGGTGGTTTTCCCCGTGCGGGAAGGGCCCACCAAGATCACGTCGGCCTCCCGCCAGAGGTCTAAGCGTACTCCGTCATCTGCCTGCTCAGCAAACTCCTGAGCCCTTCGCACCTCGACGGAAACAACGCGGCCGATACGGCAAACGATCCGATGCCCTAAACGTGTTTTCAAGCGTTAGTTGAATAACAAGGGAAACTCAAAAAAAACACAAACGGTAAGTCGAGACTGGCAATGATAAACAACGAACTTCAGGGCACCGCACGGACCAGCGGACAAAAACACAACTGTGTGCAAACCTTATGCAGCAAAACTCATGTGGCACAACTCATGTGGCAAAAAACTCATGTGGCAAAACTCATGTGGGGCACTGCATCCTTGATCTGGGCCATTTCTTTCAGCCCCAGCTGGCCGAGAATCACCGCCAGCTCCGATGCCAGCGGCACCGTCGGCTCCTCAGCAGTCGCCAGCGCCAGCTCCTGGCACGTGGACGCCTTCGTGGATCCCGTGCTGCGGTGTCGGCTTCGCACAGTTACAGCAGCCAAGGCCTTGGTGGGAATTGCTTTCTACTGGGTGCGGGATTTGGTTTTTGAGTGGGGTGAGCCCCTCCTTTGAGGGTGATTACACCTCCCTGTTTTTTGGTGGTTTGAAAGGGAAACCAAGGAATGCTCCCCGCTTTTGGGGGGTGTACCCTCAAACAGACACACCCTACTCATTCAGAGCCAAGGGGAGACATGGGAACTTGTGATCCGTGGTCGCTAGACACTCGTCACTATCGGTCTTGCAATGGCTCCCATGACGGAACCACGCCTATAATTAAGAAGCCTCAACCCCCCCCCCCTTTACCCCCCCCTGGTTTGGGCCAAATAGGTGGGAAGCTTCCCGAAAGCCTTGCGGAAGCTTCCGGAAGCCTTAGGGAAGCTTCGGGGAAAAGGGGGGGTGGGGATGAAACAAGGGTGGTCGCCCCCTCCCCCCCCCTTTTTCCCGAAGCTTCCCCAAGGCTTCCGGAAGCTTCCCAAAGGCTTCCGGAAGCTTCCGCAAGGCTTCCAGAAGCTTCCGGAAGCTTCCGGAAGCCTTGCGGAAGACTTACGGACTTCTGAAGCTTCGGGCGAGCGGACGGGAAGAGCAAGAGACAGGGAAGGAAGGGGTGCGAGGGGGACGAGCATGAGCGTAGTGGTGGGTGTCATTTTCCAGGGCTTGTCGCGCCGCCAGTCAGTGGGGAACCCTTTGGGAGCCAAATACTTTAACAGTGTTATATCACTCCAATAGCAGTACTATAGCATGTCTCAAGGGGGGGGGTAAGGGAGGGGGGGCTTTATGCTTTCTTAACGTAAACAATGTGGTTTCCTTTAAGGGAATCCCCTTCCGGTTCATTCCAAACGCCCGAAAGGTCATTCCCTAGCTATCGCACCAGCAAGAAAAGAGCCCCGGTGTTGATTCAACATCCCTTTTGATGTCCTTTGACGAGGTGAAAAGGGTGCCCTCAAGAAAAACGCGCGCAGCATGTTTGCCGCTTTTGGTTGGCACATTCCCTGCTGAGAATTTGCGAAGTTTCCTAAACTTCAAGCCAAAAGGTTGCCACTGGGCAGAGCGGCAGACGCAGCGAGCGGCCACTTTCGGTCCACCCGGGACGGAGAAGCCGCGCCGGACCCTTTGCGCGGGACAGTGGCAAATGGAAAGGCGCCAGTGCCGACACGCAGTGGGCACAGCATGGCCGGCACAAAAACCATGAGAAGGTGTGTAGACAGTTTACTTTTATTTATCTGTATCTTTTATGAGTTGTTGTTAAACCGCGCAAATATATAATATATATATATATACATGTGTGATGGAAGTAATGTGCACAAATTCCACATGTCTCCCGTGGCTTCTGCTTTCGTCTCTTTGGACCAACGCTGGCAGGACCCTCATCCCAGGCCTCTCCGGTGGCCCGATGGCTGTTGTCAAAAATAGTTGGTAACCCCAAAATGGCTTGCCCTGGCTAATGGAAACCAAGGACAACAACCTGTTGTCCATATCCTGGTGGTTTAATTTTGACCCACACCGTCGAATCTGGATTCCACATGGAAATGGGCCAGTTTCATTGCTCCCGGCCGAGCGCTTTTCCGTCCTTCTTTCGATGCCCGCTCTTCACTGGATCCCCGCCAAACCAAACAAAAAAGCAAAAAGCCAAACAAAACCAACCCAAAAAGCAATTCAAACGTTTGTACCGCCCAAGCGACGCCCAAAACTGGCTTCCCTTTTGTCAGCAACCCTCGGCCTTTTGACCTCAGATACTCAGTCCCAAAGATGTAGCCGAGTTTCTGGTGCCTCTAAAAAACATACCTGGAGTCTTCCTGACCTTTAAAAAGTGGGGCCAGTACCCAAAATAATGGGGTCATGGACCCATTTTTGAAGGGTCATGGAGAGTCTAGGTGGACGCGGACATGACCTGCCGCTCTTCTGCCGTCGGCCCAGAAATGCCCAACAAATCCCTGGGACGCATGAAATGAGCAGCGCCCAACATGCATTAATTGTGGGTTCTACATAATTATTAAGGCTTCAACAATTGCTGATTACTACCCCAGTTGAATCAGCTAAGGACCTAACCACTTAAACTAGCCCTTCTGGAATCGGTATTCGCGCGTTTTCGATGGGCCCTGTCCAGTTGGGTAGTCTTGGCTTGAGCATTTACATGGGGATTCAGTCCGCGCTCCTGCGGCAAAACAAGACATTTTTGCCGGTGTGCCAGCCATGAAGATGTCTACTTGGATGTGCATCCTCTTTAGTAGGTGGGTTCTAACCAAGCTTGTATGTGGGATGACTGGGGTTGGCTGACTTAAAAGCATAGCTGTTACTGCCTTCCAAAGCAGTTTGACCATCCAATCTAGGCTTTTCAGAATGAGGGGATCCTGAATCCCCAATCGTCGTGGGACGCCACCACAAAAGAAAACCACTACCATCAAAATGATGTTGCAGCCACTGCAAGTGTTTGTGGACTGGGGACCACAGCTACAGCCTTCTCCGAAAAACAAAGCTTCCAAGCCTCACTTGCTTCCTGAGCGGATTGGTCAACAACAGGAACCGCACCTTTTATTTACCACTAAAATGGCCACCAACCCCCCCCCCCCCAAAAAAAAAGAAGAGAAAAAAGTCCTTTCATGGAACTCCAGAAGTGAGAGACCCAGGTTGCCAATAGCTTCCGGGTGAATCATAATCTTTCACCAGCCTGAAATAAGGTTCGGGGGCTCTTCCAACCACATAAACCATGTGTGGTGAGGTCGTGTGAGGGCTTGGTTGACGTTGGAAGGGGAGCAATAACTTACATTTCGGCAGTTAAGTGGGGATTTCGACCACCAAATCACAATAAGCAAAAATGTAAAATGTTTCCCAACAACAACCATGAGGTCGCTATACTTCACCCAGCCGCTTCCGACGGTTTTCGTCGCAGAAAGCACGGCTCGCAGCTCTTCACTTCTCAGGTCCGGGCGCTCTGATGATGGCCCAGGCCCTCGCAGCTTCGCCTCGCATTGGCGCATTGAGGAGTGGAGGCAGTGGAGGGGGAGGTTTTCGTTGGGCTTCAAGGAGGGGGGGTTCAAGGGGAGGTTTAAGGGGGGAGAGGGGCGAGGTTTGGGGGGTGGGGGCTTGGACCTTTTGGGGGGGCGGGGGGCTTCCGGAGGCTTGAAGGGGCAGATGGCTGGCTCCTTCTGCTTCTCCGTTAAAGATCGCCCCAAACGAAACTCACTCAAACCTGGTACAACAAGTGATGTTCAAGGTGGACTATAGAGAAGTATCTAGGGACGACCAGAGTTTGCATTGGGAAAAAGGCAACTGGTCCCACGGCGTTGGGGTCGGGGACGCATGAAAGTGGTGACATATTTGAGGGTCCTCCACATTACATGTGGGCGTTGTCTGACCTCAAACCACCGCCAGTTGGAACTTCTGAGGGTTTCAGTCTGAACGCAACGGGATTTCTAGCATCGCTTTGGTAAATCCTCATCGGGATTCTAATCATGTTTGTTTGGTGTTGCCATTGTCTTTTCTCCTCAATGACTTGTGTGCTGTTGACTCAGCGGGTTCTTTCGGCTTGACCTAAGAAGCAGATCCGCCGAAGGCCCTTCAGCCCATCGGCGCTGGGCGGCCCGGCTGAATTTTCAGGACGTCCACGATGGGAACTGGGGCCTGGAAGCAAAGCATCGGGTGAGCTGAACTAAGCCTTGCCGGGCGTTTGGGAACATGTGACGTAGAACATGAAGCTGTGGCGGTGGTGATGGTGATGGTGATGGTGATGGTGGTGCTGGTTGTGCTGGTGCTGCTAGTGCTGCTGGTGGTGGTGGTGGTGGTGGTGGTGGTGGTGGGGTGTCTTATCTCCACAGGCCGGATTACGGAGGTAGTGTTGGGGTATCAAAAGTGTGGGTGGGTGTATCCTGGAACGATCCCAGCAGGTATGCAAGTCATCATGTACAAAAATTCGAATTCGCAGCACTTGCATCCGGTTGTGTGTGTGTGTGCTCATGTTGCTTTGAAGGGAAACCTACAGGCAAGCCATCATTTTTGGGATTCCACTGTTTTGACACAAACCCATCAGCCCCCAGAAAACCTGCAGTAACTTATATGATTTTGCTCGGTCTACGTTTCTCCTATCTACCAAAATACACCAGCCACATTTCATGGTTCGCCACATTTTGAGCCATTGATTCGACACTGAGTCGTGTCAAATGGCTTTTCGCTGGAGAATGGCTCCATCCCTTGTGGCTGAAATACGTATGCTGAGGCTGGGCTCATGGGCACTGGACCTTTTTGGGGTCCAAATTTTCTCTTCTGGCTTGGGGAAGCAGACACGAAACCAAATGGAGACAGGCGCATTTTATAGACTTCATGCGAACAAACTTCAGGGCACGATATCTCACAGGAATCCTTCAAGAGCTTTCACGGCATGTTCAGTCACAAACTTAAACGCTTTGTCGCGAGAATCCTATCTGTCGAAACCGAAATTACGGGAACTCCTAGAACAAAGGACCTTCATCACAGGATAACTCGTTGTACTGGGTGAGTTCGTCATAATCTTTGCGCGTAACCCGAAGCGTTTTGGCCCCAGCTCGACATCCCCCGAAGTCCAATCAACTACGAAGGACACATATGCCTCCAGACGTCAATTTGCCTCAAGGAATGGCTTCGGCATTGGCGTGGAGCTTTGCCGGGCTTCTTGTGATGTAGTTTTGAAAAGCTTTCTGGTTCCAATCGTACAACCAGGCACAAAATCAACAAACAAACATGATAACTCTAGCATACTCTACCCCTCCAACCAGAACGCTCCGCCCTGGACACCTTCCACCCGCGCGGAGGAAAAGCTTCACGGCTCTTGGTTGCTGAAACGACCCCTCTGCTTAAAAGGTTGTTCACTCGTGGGTCCCATTCGCAAAATCCGACCTGTTTCAACCAAACAGTTGTTCAGTCCAAGGCTGATTCCGGGAATTCAATCTCAAAATAGGAATCGGACTCCTTGGATGGTTTTAAGGGGAATTGGAAGGAAGTTCACCTGGAGAAATCCCCGAGCGCCTTGTTGGAGACGCCGCAACCATCGGAGTGGAAGGGCACCAGCGGCACTTCCTATGCGCTCGATGGGCGCCTCGCTGTTGATTTCTTTGCGGATTTTCAAACATGTCCGCACAGCTTGCTAGAAAAAACTCTAGAGAAAATGAGGAAGAGGTCTGGTGATTTGTGTCTGGCTTGCCACCGGCGATAGTTATCCAGATATGCACCCAAAGTCGTTGGAGTGGGTTTTGGGCGCTGCTCAGTTGTTGGTTGAATGGAGCTGTACCAACGGTTTTCCCTTCCGATACCCGTCTGCTTGCTTTGCCGGCATTGGCCCGTCCGGACATGGTCCTGTTAGATTAACAACCAACCCCTCGAAACACACAACGAAATGGAGCCCAGTGAATCCAGTTCTCGTGCGCAAGGGGAAAACCTCGACCAGGATCGAAACGCCTGGGTCCGGCACATCCTCTGCCCGACCCACAAAAACCCAGGGGGGAAGAAAGAAAGGCCAGCGCGCAAACAACATGCATCACAAGTGACCAGGAAGCCAGGCCAAGACGCAGGCCATTTGAGTGCCTGTTGTTGGGGTTCAATGAATGGCCTGCGCAATTTGGATGAAACTGCTGAACTGTAAACAATGGCGGTTATGCGAACCCCCCATCTCTTTCATGGTTCCAAAGGCGTGAAGCCCTCATTGATCCGTGGATCAACTGGCCACTGGGCAACTGTCCTGCGACCGTCAAGGCCAGTGACAAAATACATTGCCAGTGAATATGCAGAACAAAAACATAGTGATCCTGGTGGAAAAGAAGGGAATCCCCGTTGGGTGTCACCAGTATTGCTGGAACCTCCACCAATCTGTGACACATCAGGGAATTCTCCATGAAGTTAGCCAGCCTAACTCCCTTTTGTGTGGGCAATTGGCTAATTTCCAGAACCAAACAAAAGGAAAAAGGATGCCCCTGAACCCGATTGTCTCACTCGCCTGAGCTCCAGAGACAGGTGTTGTTGCCTGCAGCAGCTGGACACGCAATGAATCAGGAACGTCGAAGTCACAAATCAGCAACGAAGTCACAAGCCGGAAATACCCCCTACTTCAAATTCCCGCTCTTTGTAGGGTATCATGTTAACCCTTTACAAAAAAAGGTATTTACCTCGGGGAAAAAAAGGAGGTTTGTCAAACAAATACAACCCTGAATAAGAGAGAGGGTATTTGGAGTGGGCATGGAAAGCCGTATGCAAACCCCTAGAAAAGGATCTTGGGCGAGCTCGATAGGCAATCCCATGAGCTTACAATCGGCCCAGCTTTAGTCTACTCCTTGGCTGTTCCCGACCACAGCACCATTGATCCTGATTGAGAGACGACTTTGATTTACACCCGGGGTGAATCCTCTGCCACTTGGTGAAAGTAACCCATTGCTAAATGCCAATCCACCTAGACTTACTCACGGCACACCTGCACGCCGTTGGCCAATTTAGCACAACCGGCGTGCAAGAGGCCCGCTCAGACTATGTTTGACCACATGCTCGGAATTGCTCGTCTTGCGTAATTAAACACAACGTTTGCCATGAACTGACCACATCATGGGTATGTGTCAACTACAGGACATGGGCGGTTTTTAGGATAATGTGTGAGTAAAACCAGGAGAGAATCGCTACGCATCACCTCGTTGAACGGACACACACGCCATGGGTTTCCCCCGTATTGTGTGCAAGAACACGAACCAGTTCAAATCCCCAGTCTTCCAGCAATTCAAACCAGCAATTGAATGCAACCTGAAACATAACCCATTCAGAGCATCAACGTCTTAGATTCATCAAAGCGACATCCTCAAAAAGCTGTCATTATGGATGGACTCCAGCAGAACGCCCCAAATCATATTTGGGATTCAGTTGCCACCATTAACACAATGGTTGGGCTAATATAACCATCATTGTTTACTGTTCAGGGAATTGGGTTCTTGCCGATTTGTTTTGAATTGGACATACCTGGGGCTGTCCTCAGTTTACTGAAGGCTTCATCTTTGGTCAAATGGACATCCAACCGCTAAACCAGCTAAAAACCTGAAACAACTGGCAATCCAGCCACTAAACCAGCTAACAAGCAAAAACAACTGGCAATCCAACCACTAAACCAGCTAAACAGCTGAAAACGAACCCCAAGGAGCCGGGCTGGGAACTGGCTGGTGGCTCCCCGCGCGCGCTCCTGGCCTTACTCAGCGCGTGACGACCTTGCTCCAGGCGCAGCGCCACCTTGAGTCAAAGTCCGCGAGTCTCGCATGACGAAATGAGTTGCCGTGGGTCGAGACTGTAACAGTTGCTGGTATTTACTCAGATGCCCAGTGGCCATGGGAAAAAAGGGCACCCTGTTTGGACTTTAAAGGGACACCCTTCCCTTTAAAAAAAAGGAAAAAACAAGGGCACCACTGGGCAACTGGTATGTATTTATTAGGGCAACATCATGCGACTATTGCTGGAATTTACTGTCTTTTGCTGGCATTTACTGCGATTTCTGGAAAACGTTTGTTGCCAGAAGAAGGGAGAATTGAATAAGAAACCAGGGGTTTCTTAGGTGGTGCAAGATTTCGTCCAGAGTATTGGTTGGTATGTATATACAGGGAAACCAAATCGAATCAGAAAGGAGGAGTTCTGAACGGTGGCGCGATTTCTGCAAACCGCAGCCAAACCAGTAGGGGAGTGCTCCCTCCGAAAGTAAAGAAAGGCTTCCCTTGAATGGGTAGCGGCTTGAGCCAATATCTAGCATACAGGATTGTTTGGGAATGTTGACCCGTAATTACCCTTCTCATAGGATCACTTCCGATGGATTGGCCCAGAAAAAGTCACCAAACTTTTGGTTTAGCACCAAACATAGTCCAACCCCAAAAATATTGGAGATGTTCATGTAACACTCTGGATTTTGCGAAATCCGCTTCTCGTGCCACTGTTCAGCAACGCAGCGGTGTCTGATTCGATTCCCCAAGAAAGTATCAAGAAACTTTCTGGTTTCAACCATGGTTTCAGAGGTGGTGCGAACAGATGTCGTCCATCCACAGTAGGGGGGCTGCTCTCTCGAACAGCTGTCTGATTCCCCAACAGGGGACGCACCCCAATCGAAAACAACCAGTGTATTCATCCGCGTGGCCATTCCAGAAACATTCTACAGAACTCCTGGTTGCTCCTGGTTGTTGGTTGGTATTTGGCCAATATTCCTTGTTCAGATCGGGGCTACTGTGGATGGACGAAATCCTGCACCACTTTCAAACCACAACGAATTGTTGGTATTTGCAGGGGATCATCATTCCAGGGTTTCTTAGGTGGTGCAGGATTTCGTCCATCCACAGTAGGTGTCCTTGTGAAAACCGAGATGCAATCAACAAGCAATGTTGCTGCTGGAGGCTCCCAACTGGCCTACAATGCCCTTGGCTTTTGGCCGGCTCTCTCCGCGCTTGTGGGGGAGGGGCTTAACACACCTGCTGTTTTTTTATGTTGATGAGTGCTTCTCCAAATAAGGGACTGCCACAAGAGGAATACTTCAGGGCGTCGTGTTTTAAATGCCGTCAAAGCGCCCTGCGCGGAGAGCTTGGGTAAACCCTCTGTCACCAAAGGCAAGCCCCTGTGTCTAATCCCCAGAATTTGGGCTCACCCAAATGTGTTCACAACACCTACCCATCCAAACATAGCACCTGTGGGAGGGAGGGTACCTGGAAGATCAGTTTCCTAAAGGAAAGCTCTGTGAAGTGCTGTGGAAACGTGGGAAGGGTACGTAAATCACCCGCATGAGTTCGGCTCAGCCAAATCGCTCGGCCTTGCGCTTGGGATCTCTGGCCATCTGCTCCTCGCGCAGAAGAAGGTCGTCTTGAAAACAAATCCTGGGGCCCTAAAACGGTCTGTGGTGGGGTCTATGGTCGAAAATTGTTTCCACTAAGGCCTTGGGGCAACTGAGCCGGTGACTTTTAGATTTTTGGAGTGATCTAAGATGGTTTCCACGACCCCCAAGTCGAAGCTACCCTTTATGTGCCCCAATTTCCCTTGGGGTAGTGGCTTGGGGGTGGCGAACATCATGGATATTTGGGGGGGCCCTGGACGCTGGAAAGGTGAATAGAACTTGCGCAGCTCAAAACCTTCGGTTTTCCGACAGCTCCGAATGACCGCTGTCATTACCCATGTCGGGCAAGAGGGTGATTTCAAGTGTCAACTCCTTACGGGGCAATGTGGAATCGGGTGACCCCCAAAGGGTTGAGTTCCCTCGGCTTTTCTTATCTGGCGAAATAGGAAATCCCCACCACCACTAACCCAACCAACAAGATCTAAAAAGCTAGTGAACCAAATGGCTGGGAACCACCGCTTTACCCTGACAGTCTGCCTTCCCGGCAGGTCCTTTCTCCTCGCTCGCCGAAGCTCTGCCTGCGCAAAACAAGCACAGAAGCTGGGCTTCAAGCCATCGATTTTCCGAGGGGAGCGTCTATAAAACCTACGACTCACAGGAATCTTTTGAGGCCCACCAACTTACCAATGATGCTTAGGGAATCGATCAACATATTTGTTGCAACATGTGGCCCATCAAAACGCATGCACCCACATGGCTTGGTGTAGCCTACTGGCTATTGTAGAGCCAAATGGACCCTGACTGGCCCCTCAAGCTAAGCGCGGTCATGCGACCATACAAGGTCTGTTGCAATTCCTTCAACATGGAAGATACAACAAAAAACACCAGGGATACTGAATGTCATCTATCAAACATATTATGTATGTCTCTATATATATATATATAGATAATGTTGAATTTGTATGTCTGTGTAAGCTTTGTTTGACATGGGACCATCCCTGTTCCAGGCGTGTTACAACAGATCCCATATGTGCTGCTGTCAAAACAGATACTTCAGTCAGACAGAAACATGTATGCTTCTTGGTTGTTTTGAACAGCTACTACCGGGTCAGCCGCGGATCGAGTTAACAAGTGTGTTTCGCGTGGCAGGCGTGGGGCGGTCAATTGTCACGCAACTTTAAACATATAATAATTAAGGGCTTCCCGGATCCAACATTGACCGCGCTTAGGTCTCTCTTCCTGAAGGATTCTACTGCCAAGGGTTGTCAGTTGTACTCGCTCTGACCCCCCAGAAGCGCAACTTGTGTCTGGCCAGTGTAGGTACTGGTTGCTTTCACCATCCTGGCTGTCACCCGCGATCCGGAATTTCTGCGAGAACCCAGCTAACTGCCAACCGCTAACCGATATATGGAAACAAGGACCAAGCATGGCAATGTTGCGTTCCATGTGCTGGCCGCTTGCATTCCGCTGGGAGTCAACCACCAATGAAAACAACAGACACAACCCCAATTTGGAAAAACACTCGCTTCACATGGAAAATACCCACGCTGAGGGGGTCCCCCTCTCTAAAACACAGGGGGGGTCTATATAACCACCAGTGTTTACCTCATTTGTTATTTCATAAATTGGGTCCTTGCCATCATTTGAATGTTGTTTGAACCCTAGCGATGCCCTGCACGTGCAAAGACCCTGGCCGCAAAACCAAAGGACACCATACGCCCTTTTGCAGTACATGGACATGGCTTCCTTAGTGAGAAGCCTCAGAATCATGCGGGCTGCTCATACTGGAGTGCTGGCCAATCCAAATCCACAATCCCTATTAGAAAACCACAAAGCGGACCCTTTCAACACCAAGCTAAGGATTAACCATTGTCTGTGAACAGCCAATATAGCTATAATGATTGTTCACATCCCGGCTAAGGGGATGATGACGATCCCAAGCAACTCCAGGTTCCTTGGCCATGGCACATGTGCTAACAAATCACTATTTGATTGAACTGGCCTTCCAAAATCGAGATCCTAAACCCATAGATGCCTCGAACATAATCAGACAACAGCTACAAAAAACTACTATTATCATCCTATCCTGTCCTTTTCTCCTCTCGTCCTTTCTCTAGGATTCAACGAATAAAGAGAGAAATACAAACCCCGGTCAGTTCTCTGGCCTCCTTTTCGCGACGCGCCGCCTCCGCTTTGGCCGCGATCTTGGCATCCCCTTAGTGCGCAAGAGTCCCCCGCGAGTCCGCGAACCCGTGCGGAGAAATGGCATCGCACCTTGGGCTTCTGAGCAAACCAAGGAAACCCGTGTACTGTTTACACGCTTTGATGTGTTTTCAGAGAATTCGATTCGTTGTAGAACACTCAATGATAGGGGAAACGAAAGACACCCGTCCGAGGCAAGCAGGCCTTGGAGCATCAGTTTCAGTCCACAGAGGGAAAGAATCTTCGAGGGGTAACTTCACCATTCTTTCCAGAGATCCTTCTTTTTCAGGAAGAAACACAACATCCTCTGACAACAGCTGGCTTTTGCAAAGAACGATGGTTCAACAAAATCGGTAATCCACCCCTAGAAGAAACAAAGGACCCACCCCTCTGCGGATTAGAAGGCATAATGGCCTAGACGCCCCATCACAAGGTACCCAATGCCAATTCATCAGCAGGGTCACCACAAGATACATTCCAAATTCACATGTGTCTCAAAAGGATCTTCTTCATCAGTTGGTTAAGAACAGAGATGCGTCTAGTTGTCGACGTGGCCAAACATTACATGTGTTTGCAACCCTCACTCGGTTGCTTTCTGCTCCCCTGCTAAAGTTCAACTTTTAGTTGTTCAATGGAAAACCCCCTTTGTTGGCAAAAAAAGAGAGTCCTAACATCCAAGCAAAATGCACCAACCCTCAGTCTGAGCCCAGTCTGAGCCCCAGCGATTCTTCTGGAGATGCTCCAATCGCAAACTCCGCGACAAGTCCTTGGCATCAGCTCCAGGCCAGCGCGTCTCTAAAATCAGCTTCCCCCCAGATTGGTAGTTTGGAGCCCGGTGGTTTGGTGGTTAAGCTCGGGTTTCCCATGTACCTTCTACAAGAGCCAACCCGTTCAAATCCGAGATCCAGCCGGTTTGGGGAGAAGCTGATTTTAGAGACCCCCCCCAAAAAAAACAACACAAAACACACACACACACACACACACACACACACACACACACACACACACACACACACACACACACACACACACGCGCCCAACCTAGGCCTTAGCTTCAGGGCAAGCCCAGATTCAAGAAGCCGTTGGGGCAAAGGTCAAAGCACGGGTTGGAGGAAAGTTTTCGGGGAGAAGCTGAAGCTGATGGCTATAGGCCACTTTCCGACTGAGAAACATGATGACTTCTGCAATGCGTGGCTTGCGATTCACGCCTATGCTCCAAGGGGCAGAGTACCTAGCAAGTGGATAATCACCATGGTTATAACCCAATAAGACATGGTTATAAGTCTCCCAAGTGAGTTAGAACCAGTCTTATCAACCACTTACTAAGCACACTGCCCCTTTAAGTGGCGGATTCCCCATATGTTCTCAACCACCTACTAAGCACACTGCCCCTTTAAGTGGTGGATTCCCCATAATATGTTGCAACTTAATTGGCAAACTGCAGTGAATTTCAGGCAACGCATCACAGCATGAAAAAAAACAAGACGCACCTTGCCTCAATGGTGTGCGAGAGCTGGGCAACCTCAGCAGGAAGCTACAGCGGTGGAAACTCGCTATGTACATGCGTAATATAGAAATATATGCCGGTTGAAACACAAAACACCAGAAGCCAATCCAGGAAGGGTCTAAATCATCAGAATAGGGTTGTGGGGTACTTTGAACACAAATTTAAGTTCTGATCATAGGATAATAATGCGTGTAATTTATCTAGCTCCTTGTATTGCCCAACCTGCAAACCACATGAAAGTTCGCCAACCTTTGATACAGTGGTAAATCGTTCTTTGCTCATAAGCCCTTCATGGATGGACCAAATGGCCCAAAACTCCTATGGACAAATTATGAGTTCCCCACACCTGCGGGAAACATGGGAAACTTGGGTGGGCCTCTATGTCCTCTTCACAAGACCGTTCTCTGTTGTACATATGGGCCATAGGTTGTGGTTCCCTTAACAAACAGTAAATTCTTGCAGTGGCTACCAAAGCACATCCATTTGAGCCGTTGTCAAAGCTCCTTAGGCGGCTGCCCTTGGGACGGTCATCTTGTAATGGCTTGGACTAACCACCCAAATGCCTCGATATGGCCTCAGGTAGGCCAGGCCCCTTCAAAAAAAAACCGCTACCACGATGGCTTACCCAGCTCAAGCCAGCGTTTATCCGTTGATCCCCATTTGGAGGAAAGGGACGCTGATTGGAACCCGCCATGGTTCGATGTTTCCAAAAAAAACGACTGATTCTAGGGCTCAGCGCCCTCACTCAAACGTTCCCGGCACTGCTTGTCACTTGCACCAAGGCATCCCTGCATCATCTGCAAAGGTCTCTGCATCCAAGGCATCGTCCTGAGGGATGCTCCCAGGACCAATTTTCTCGTTGGAGACATTGAGAAGTTCTCGCTGCTTGGCGTTAGCAAGGCACTTCTTTGCAAAAATGGGTGTGTCCAACGGGAAACTGGCCATTTTGGGGGGGGGCGGTCCCTTTCAAGACACACCCAAGATGGTACAAACCCAGAAGTCCATGAAGGGATCCAAACCCAGCTGCAAGATGCGTGAGTCAGCTTTACAGGAGGACCATGGAACCTGAACCGGTGCGAACCGCATGGGTTTGGTGAGCCCTTTGGAAATACCCGAAAAGTGTGCTGAGGGTCCCCATCTTCACCCCTTTGCGTTAGACACCATGAATTGTTGGGGAATTGTGAAAAGAAGGTTCTCTGGACATGGGGGATGAGGGTTTGCCTGTTGCCACTAGGAACATAAGGGCTCCCTTAAAATTGCATCGAGGTCAGAATTTACCCAAGGGGGGCCACTGGAGGTGTGGCAAACTTGGCCTCTTCGTCTGCGTCGGGCCTCGGCGCATGGGACGAATAGGGCTCGCTGGGTCTTTGTGGGCGGAAAATTCATGAGCCCCTTGAGCCCGTGCTTGTGGGGGAAGTTTCTAGGGGTAGTAGCTTCCCCATTCTGTCCAGGGATCCTTCTTTCTAGAAAACCACCAAACCCCCGGGGGGAAAGGCTGGTGTTTTGAAAAGAACGATGGCTGAAAAGAATGGGGAATCAACCCCTAGCTCCCTGTTTCTCTGGGGAACATGAGAAAGTCCCCCTTCGGATTGACTCCTCCTTCATCGACTATAGAAGCTCCTTTCAACACCTGGAATGAGGGCAATAGCTGTGCTGAGTCCCCAAGTCTGATTGACACTGATCAATGCCAGCGGGATTTAAAAACCGCTTAGAGAAGAAAAAAAAAACGTTGGCCTTAGGCCCATTTTTCCGGGAAGAAAACAATGGTGTGAATGTCACCACCATCTATCATGTCCTTACAGACCTCCTGGTAGCTCCATAGCTCCCTGCTTGACAAAACAAATTCTGATACCCTCAGCTCCCTAACGGCTCCCTTCCAAGCTGGTCGTGTAGCCTTCAGATCTAAGTTCTCATCTAAATGGGGTCTTGGGCCCTTGTTTTAAACCTTGGTTGACACTGAAAGGGCAGGAAAAAGCATTTTAGCAGTTAAGTGGGATCTCCCACTAAACCACACTAAGCAAACAATGCAATATGTTTCCCAACAACAGCCAAGTAATGGGAATCGGCAAGAAATCCTAGAAATTCTTTGCGTCCCCTGAAGGATCCCTAGGCAGGGTGCACCTGTCCCAGCGGATCCCATGCGTTTCGCTGCTGGGTAAAAGCCACATGCTTCCTCGGGTTTTAATGGGTGGTTCCCTAACCCCGAGGATTGGACCTGTGCCATATGAGGGCCTTTGACCCCGCCCAGGCCTGACATCTTGAGGTCTTGGGATCCTAGGTTGATCTGCGGTTTTGATTGCGCACGGCCAAGCCCATGACCAAGCCGAAGTGCCTGGCAGATCCGTGGCGGCTCAACCAGAAGGCGGGAGCTTTCGGATTCCGCATCTGATCTGGGCAGATTATGCGTCACATAACCTCACATAAGGCATGTTCAAGTATGCTTCCAAAGTTTTCCCTCGCTTTCCTCCCAAATCTGCTGCTTCCCAAAAAGAGGCCAACCCCCCCCCCAAAAAAAAGAGCACGAAAAGCATATCCCTGCGCCTTGGCTGCTCCGACATGGGGGTACAGGTGCCCAGCTCAGAGAACATCAACATCTGTGGCTTGGATCCACGAAATTTAGAGCGACACCCAGGCGCATCTCAGCTGCACATACCCGGCGAGGAAGGCAGCCCTTCACGCAAAACATGCGCAAAACTCACTGGCTGAGTGGATGGCCCAAAAAAGGTCCAAACTTTATATTTACCACTAAAATGGTCTTCCCAAAAAGTCTAAAGTTCATGAACTCAGGAAGTGAGAAAACTTGATTGCTGATAATTTGCTCAAGGATGCCAAACCATTTGTTCAACATCTGAAGGAAAAAAAGCAAGCGCGTATGTTGGTGAGTTGTACCCAAACCGAGAACGGCACCCAACTTTGGTGGCTCCGCCTTGCGATTCCCTGTCCATTTAGCTGTAGATATCGGCCGCGTGGAAACCTAACGCCCCCATTGGACATGCTTCCACCAGGCCCCTCATGGAAATATTGTTTCGCCCAGCACGGGGTTTCTCTGAAAGAACTACCAAACATTTAAGGGTTGCGGGTTGCCCTCACACCAACCCACACAAGGGCGTGCGAAAATGGCCCCTGCCCCAAAAAACGACAATGGGGGGGGGGAGGGGGGATGAGTTTGCGATCGATGCATTTCCCACGTCTCTGATGCTGTTTCATCAGTTTCATCTCGCCCCCTAGGCCAAACAAGGCTCACCTTTGGAGAGCTGTTGGGTCCCTTATAAGACATGTCGTTCCACAGGGGCTCTCCCTTCATTTTTCTTCGACATGTTCTCACTCCCGATGCAAGAGGGCTTCAACCACAAACTGCTACTGTCCGGAGTATACCCTGTACACACTGTTTATATAGTGGGTGCACATACATTTTAAGTTGTTCTGGTTTTGTTCTTTTCGGGGGAGTTTTTTGGGAGTGGTGGACACCCTCGCGGATCAGTTGCAGCTTGCTGCTCGGCCTTCGTCTCTGGCGGCGTCCAAGTGAAAAGCGTACCTCGGCGGACTTGGAAAGGCGCCTCTTCGCGGCGTCTGGCGCCAGGGGCGCTGTCGGTGGTTTTGGGATAGAACTCATTGATACCAGGGTTGAGGGGCTTAAAAGCAACAGGAATCAACACCAACGCACGGCCTCAACGAAGTGTTGATGACAATATCCAAAGTGAGGCATCGCTGGGCAGCCACAGCATATCCTTAAAACATTCACCAAGATTCTGCCCTTGAAGTTTGTCATAAGGCTCGGAGTACCGTTGACTGCGGCTCTGCGCACTCAGGGACTGAGGACATCACTTCATCCTCAACGAGTTCTGCAGCCGCGTGGGAGTTGCAAGCCTGTCGGAACGTCTTCACTCACGCGGCTCTGTTCATGCATTGACGAGAGTTATCTGGGTGCGTTGGTTTCATTTTGGGACAATTTGAGTGGATGGCCCCCAAAATGTCCAAACTTTCTGTTTGCCGCTAACATGGTCCAAACCCAAAGAGTGACTAAGGTGCGAAACGGAACTCAAAAAGTGAGATAAATCAGTTTGGTCTAGAATCGTTGCGCAGCACGTGAGCCACTTGAATCTAACTCCCACTTTGTCAGAGACATGCGTGGCTCGTCTTGCTTAGAAAATCCCCCCAAAATGGAGTTCGGTGTTCCCTTGGTTTCCTTTTAAAGGTCACAAACATAGGACGAGCATCCTCAAACAGAAGACGAGCCATGGTGCAACTTGCGCGCAACAGGCCAGGCTTGCCCCGAGTCTTCGCATGCATCCTGCAAGCCACATTGGCTTCAGCCGCGAACGAGAATGATGAGCTATGTGCTTCCCACCCCGAAGCCCCATTCTAAAGGGCCTTACCATTTCATCCTCTCACAAATCTGCACATATATATATTATGTATAACACCATCCCACTGGAAAGGAACAGCAAGAAGACCCCTTCTGCCAATGTTCTACCAACTTGTGGTTTCATGGCTTTGAGGTTCGAGTTGCTCCCAGAGATGTCCTTTCGCTGGTCATCGGCTTTCCACTCCTGCGTCAGGTCGCGGGACATGTAGAAGCCGGAATCACACAAAGGCCAAAAAACAAGCACGGAGCTGAAATCAACGCGAGAGGACACCAAAGGAAAATGGCTGGCTAACATCTCTTTTGGCTGGTAGAGGGGGAAAAACCAGGTGAACTCAATATAAACCACCACTGCGTAAAGGCACCGTTCCTGAAGATACTTGTTTCACTTTGGAAGTAAACCATTCAACGTTGGGCACATGACAGCCGCCGTGAAAACGTCCCTTGGGTGCACTCTGCCATACAGAAAGCTTGCATTGTGGGGATCTGGTTCTCAATTGAGCAATTGGTTGAATGTTTCAAAAGAGACCAAGAGGACTTGGGGTGGCCTACCATCACCACAAATTCGCACAACAACTACTAGTACTACTGCCAATGTATCAATGGAGGCCGGGCCACGCTCTAAGACATGGTTAGCTTCGCCGTGCCCGAGGTTTGTGTCAACTTGAACCACCAAGCAACCAGCGGCCACGTAATTATTTAGCGAAAACATTGTTGCTGCCTGCGTGGAAGACGCATACTTAACACGCAACATCCACACGAATTGTGAATCCAACATGTGCTACTAGTAGATTCGGTCGGCGGGTAGTCCCTGGTTGATTGGGGTAGAGTCCCGAATTTTACAGGCCACCCGTCGCTTGAGAATACTCTCCCTACTAAGCCGCTGGGAATCTTGGGTCGACATCTCTGTGACCTGAAGATAACCTGTCCTTCTTGAGGTTGCTGACTCACGACACCTCCTTATGCAGGGTTCCACTTTATGGAGAAGCCCCCAAAATAGACTTAACCCCGGGAATCGGTTCTCCTTTTGGGTGGAAGGGAATGAACCACTGGGGTCCAAAAGCAGAAGCCTGTCCCTATGAATCTTCGAATCCGCAAGACTGGGTCAACCTTTCCACCTAGCCCGAGCCAAGCCATGGGCTTCAACCAACCGAAAAGAATAATGGCAACTTGGGATCCAACTTAGATGAAACTCCTTCGGGCAAAAATGGATTATGGCTGCGGTGTTCCTTTCGTTCCTCTTTCAAACCACCAAAGGTAGCATTCAAAAAGACCCCCCCCCCCCCAAATGGAGGTTCTATCAACCCAAGCATTGTTTTAATGGAGGTGTGAACCCAATTTTGAAAGGATTTCCGTGCTGAGCAACATGTCTCAACTTGGGCTTAAGCCTCGGTTCAAGTGCCAAAGCGTGAAAACGCGAGAAAATAACTTCCCCTGACTTCCTACAAATGAACATTTAACCCCAAAGCAAGGTCACTTCCCACTAAAAATGGAGGGAGTAGCAATACAGGTCCCCCGAACATCAAAGGCCCTCCTCCCAGCTCTCAATTGGGGATTCGATTTAGTTGGGGGCAGGGATTCCAACCGTTGGGCAATGCTGAATTCTCACCGTGCCTGCCGAATTCTCAGTGTGCGCCCTCCAGCCTGCGCGCACTATGCAAGTGAGAAGTATGGGCTTCCCTGTACATGTGGCTGAAACCTACCTAAAATCTGAAACCAACCTGAAACCAAACACGCCGTTTCGTACCGGTGATCAAAAGGTCCCAATATATGCTTTACCCCCCCTTTCTGGCGGCTTTTTGAAGGATCAAACCACTTTTGACTCGGTGATAGTAAGAAGTAGGGGGAACGTCAGTACACGATGCATCAGGACTCGCCATTTCCGAAGAAGCCCCCTCATTCTTCGCACTTTGTCGCTGCCCGAGTGGATCAACCAAGAACAATCTCATGTGCTTGTGTCCTACTGACATAATCCTCGCAAACAAGTGATTCACAACAACAAACAACTAGAGAACTGAGCCTAGGTCCTCCAGTAGAGAGGTTAGAAGAAGGGTACCCTTCTTTTTTTTCTGCAGTCTATTTTAGGTGATATCCCCAACAGCATGCGGTGCTCTTTTTAGTGCTCGCACCACCCCGTAGGCCTCGCAGAACATGGTGGAACCCTGGTGGAACCTTACCTCAGGCCCGGACCACCCTGAGCCTATCTGGGCTGAGACCCCAAAGCTTGCAGCTGTTGGGGAAAAAGGGGAGAGAAGGGCACCATCCTGGGGGACCTAGGAGCATTCCCAGGTTTGCTTGCCCCAGGCCATATGTTACATGGCAAACGAAGTATACGGGTACCTGGAGTCTCCCTCTGACCCCCTTAAACATGGTCATTACCCGAAAGTTGAGGTTGGTTATGACTCCGACGAATCGCTTCGCCGCTTCTTCGATCGAAGGCGCGAAGGCACCTGCAAAATGGTCTCTTGGGCTGGCCCTGGCCTTGGCGACGCCGTGCGAAGGGCCCATGCTGAGTAAGTTGGGGAACTCGGTGGTTCCATAGGCAGGGAACGGCTGACCCCTATAAACCATCCCCTATAAACCACCCCTATAAACCATCCATAGCGTGGAATTGGAACTGGATGGGAATTGGAATTGGATGATCCCAAAAAAACCATCCCCTATGGTTTCCTTTGAGGGAATCCCCTTCCGGTTCATTCCCAACACCCGGAACGGCTGATTCCCTACTGAGCACCAGTAAGGTATCCCAACTCTTGTTTGGCCTCGGTGGAGCTATCGACGCTATGTAGGCCCGAGGTTTATGCGGGTCTGTCGGATCTTCTTGAGAAAAACAACAACAAATAATTTGTGGTGTGAAAGGGAAACCCAAAGGAACCCACCTACCTGGACTCTCCATGACCCTTCAAAAATGGGACCATGACCCCATTATTTTGGGTAATGGCCCCACTTTTTAGAGGTCATGGAGACTCCAGGTAGGAAGTTCCCCTTTTGGCCGCCAATTCTCCTTTGCCCGAAGTAAAGTCGAACGCAAGGTCTTCAGAGATTCGGCTGTGGCTCAAAAAATCGTACCAAATTGGCACCTTGGAAACTGGAGCCAAAGACTACAACCTGTGTATTTTTGAGCCACACCCATTCTTTGTCTGAATTTCAACAGGGTGGGGATTCACTACCAACCACTTTTGGAAGACTCGGGAGTGAGGAATGAACCGCAAGGGGCTTCCCTTTGAGGAAACCATGGGGGATGGTTTGTAGGGGTCATTCCCTCATTTCCTGCTGAGAACCAGCAAGATAATTATTCTGCAGAACATCAATTTCTTTCAATCCATCCTAAGTCTTAACATGTCCATAGCTGGACTACCAAATTCTTTTTAGAGACCTAAACAGGGATAATGAAGCATTACCAAAAAGGCCACAAGTCAAAAAGGGTCAGCCGACTCCGGCACTGTGTTAAAAAGAAACAGCACCCTGCCCCCCGTTTCTCGTGATGCGTTCGCGACCCTTGCCCATGACAATCGCACCAACTCTCCGAATAGTCCCCCTCAAACATCACAACAACAAATCGGAAACTCGTCCAAAAGTGGCCACCCAAAGGTCATGATCCAAGAACTTGGTCCGCTGCTCCCAGAAAAAAAAAGGAAAACAACTTTTAAACGGCCGAGAAATGGACTTGGAGCCCTGACCGAAGGCTCGATGCCGAGCTTGAAGGTCGGCCTCGAGAAGAGCGCCATACTGTGGATGGACAAAATCCATTTCGAACCACTTTGAAACCATGGTTGAATCCATTGTTTGTTGATATTTGCAGGGGAATCGAATCATTCCAGGAATTCTTAGGTGCAGAATTTCGTCCATCCACAGTAGGGTTTCGGTGGAAGCTTCTCTGGTTTCCGAGGATTCCCTTCAAACCGTGCCATATGAGGGCCTATCCCCGAACACCTCAAATGAGGTCCAAGGGGCTCCTAGGGAATTGCTCCAATTTTTTAAAGGGGACCCAACAGCTTTCAGAAACACCCCGTGATGAACTTTGCTGTTGACAGGAAGCCGACAATTGGGGATCCCAAGTTTAAGAAACACACCTTTGGCTGTGCCTGGGCAAGCTATACAAAGTGTCAAACCCTGCTGCCTGTGCTACATGTCAAAGAATCAGAGGTGCTTGGTTTGAGTCCCTTTTGAGGCGCACACACACACACACAAAAACCAACGGTTTGGGTTGTTCAACATGAGCCGATCCCGAATACTAATTCGCAGTCCGTGGGACATACAAAGATCACCGCATCCTGGAATGAGGATTGACTTTGAAGAAGCAATACCTTGTGTTGGCTGGGAAACAGGAACAGTTCAGCAGCGTCCAAAGCCTCATGTTAGAGTCGCGTCAAATCGACCTGTGCGTCAGCAAAAACTCCACGCGTACGGTGGCATAAGCTGGTGGTATGGGCAAAAAGGTATGACGTAGCAAATCATGACACGTTCAGGACGTGGCTCAAGTCAAACATCAAATCAAATTCTGGTCTGAGCCCCTTTTGTCGAATGTTGCTCCTTGGCCGGCCAGCGCTGTGTTTTTTCGAATGAGTTCCCGGGTTGCCCACTAGCTTGGAATCTTGCGGAGGGGTCCTGAAGGCCTAGGACTCGCAATAGTCCATGTTGGTGGACGGGGGGGGGTACCCTTTGTACCCAACCAAGTGATTCCATGTTCTCATGTCAACCAAAGGAGTGAGGGAAGCACCCTTTAAGACGAACAAAAATACAAATGGCTGATTATCCACCTTAAGTCTGGGCTGCCCTCAGATCCCCTGCTAAAAGTTGAACTTTTAGTGAGTTGCATGAAAACTACCACTAAACCCTAAGAGCCAAAAAGCTAAGGATCCGGATGGGGAGCCACCAAGAAGTGGCGAATCGAGTCTTCACTCACAACCAATCCGCTTAGGCTTGGGCCAGACTTGGCAAGGCTCGTGGGCGACCTCGTTGACTTCAACTTGCCCCCAGCATCTTTTTGGGGGCGCGGTGAGCACGTGTTTACCCAGAGTCTCCATGACTTTTAGAAAAAGGGGTCATAACCCTTAATGCCTAATGACCCCATTTTTAAAGGGTCATGGAGACTGCAGGTACCGGGAAAAAAGTGGCTTTGAGCAAATTCCGGAGCCATTCGAAGTCGGAGCCCATCATCTCTGCTGAACGGTGGCATCCACTCGGAACTGCAAGAAGCCTCTCGGTGTATATCAGTCGCGACGGTGCCGATGTTTTGGGAGGGTGCCCTGGCATCATTTCGGAAAATGTGGACAGAAGGGGTGTGATCATGCACAGGTCCAGCCTCAACCCCACAGCGGAATCAGCGACCCTGCGCTCGCCCGTCAACAAACTGGCTGAACAAATGCTGCACCTCCCAAAAAGCACTGTAATTACACCCAGTTGTGCGGGAAAAAAAACAACTTCTTGCTCCTTTCCGAAATAGAAATGCTTCCAAACCATGTCCACAAACAAAGTGCACGCAACTTTGCGGGAAAGAACACCTTTTCGTTGCCTTGCTCAACAGACATGCCTTTAAACTTCACATTCAAAAATTGGCGATACACGTGCCCACACTTAATTCACGTTGGTCATCCCCCATGTGGTAGCCTGAAAGGAAACAAGACGAGACATAGATGACTTGGCAAATCCCATTGATTGCTTAGCAAAAAACAAATAACTGCAAAGTCCCAGACAGAAATATGGGAACGATCCCAAAAGCAGGAACTATCAAGATGTAAACTTCTGGATGTCCAAAAACAAAATGAATGTTGATTGAATATTGGATCAAAGAACGGTGTATTAGAACGAAGTTCACCCCAACAAAAAAGTGTATCAAACACGATACACCAACGCGTCATGTTAATAAGAGCATCAAAGCAGTACTCAAGAAAACACACATGAATCATGAGAAACTGCCCCGGCTTTGTCCTCAACAATTTCACTTAGAATCATATGCCCAGGCAAAATAAGGTCTACAGGTGGCAAAATAAGGCCCCTGTACAGATGGCGAATAGGGGTGTGTGTGTGTGTCAAAAAAAAGGGGGGGAACCACCCAAAACGATCTCTGTCCTTCCCTTAGGTGTCCTTTTGGGATAGTTGATTGAACCACCAGGTAAACCAGGGCCCTCTATTTTTCAACCAAATCAACCAAAAAGGACACCTATGCTCCTTCCGTTTCCCTTCAGTCAATTCCATTGACTTCAGAGCAACTCAAAAAAAACTCGCCGAGGACATGGCAGCAACTCGAGAGGCGCAACCTGGCAAATGAATCATGGACACGGCGCTGAGGTCATGATCCAAAGGTCACCGGTGTCCATCATGAAAAACCTAGAGGTACTTCCATTTGCTTAAGCCGCCTGGAAAAAAAGGAAAGTATGCCCAGTAGTGATAGATTCCCTTTAAGACCAACAGGGAAAAAAAACAACAACTCTCTTTCAGCAAATGGAAGGGTACAAGTACCTGGTTCCATGAAAAATGGTAAGCTAGGCCACAACTACCGGTTCAACTCTTGAAAACTAGAGGTTTGATGCCAGAATGTCATGGACCCTAAGGCTCCTGATGCTTTTTGGGCCTCAAAATGGGTTGTTTTCACGGGCCCCTGAGGAATCGGTCCGGGTTCCTCATTGGAGGGCCCGCCCTGGATTGAATGGTTTTGGTCATGAGCCTTAGGGGATGTGTTTTTGTTCATGCCAAGAATTCAGAGCCAGGAGCCATGGGTTTCGGCCTTCGAACGTCTTTGAGATCTTCAGGTCATCGGCCAACACCTCATGGGCAGAATGAAATGCCTGAACTAGGTCCTCCAGACTTGAGAGGTTAGAGTAAGGGTGCCAGATTTTTGTTCGGCTTTGTCTATTTTAGTAGGGGAACCCTCCCGCAAAACAGGGTAAAAGGGCACTACTGGGGGACCTCGTTAAAGTGTGAATAGCGGAACGTGATGCAAGGTGTGGAACTCCAGGATCCAGCTGTGATGGAACTCATCAAACAACTGTCTGCATGCAGCCAGTTCAAAATAGATGCGGATTTCTCTTGGGGCCAAGTTGTTGCTGCCCGGAAACTCACCACACAAATGCAAGGACATCTTGACAAAGGATGATGCGGTTTCCCTACCTAAATCCTCTTTGCCCGCCCCATCTAAACTGCTTCCTTTTAGTTCTCCTTTTGGCTTCAGTCTTCAAACCAAACCGGTTGTCGTTCTGTGTCCTTTTGACCATGGGTCAACCGCCCCGCATATTTGGAGACAAAAAACTAAACATACACATAGCCCTCCCTCCACAAAAAACAAAAAAACAAACAAAAAACAACAAAACCAAAAAAAAGCGGCCCCAAAAGAGGAGCATCGCGCTAGCAAACATGCCGCTGAAGCCCCGCAGGGCCGGCGTCGCGTTTGCAACCTGAGAGGACATGCCAATTGGCCGACGCGCCGAGAAGTTGGGCTCGTTCTTGTTTTTGGAAGTCGGACCCACCCTTTTGGTCGGATTGAAAGGAAAACCAAAAAGACACCATCCCCATTTCTGGATACCAGTTTTGAGAATGAACAAATTGGGCGACTGGTTGGGCTTGGCAATCTGGACCTGGAAGTAAAGCGGTCGTCTTTATTGAGGGCAAAGATGTTAGATGTTTCCAAACGTTCACCCGGCCAGCGTGCAATGCTCCATGACTACAGTTTGCGCTGAAATCCCAATGGGGTGATGTGCGATTCAAGCAAACCACTTTCATGGCCTAGTGGCCCAGTGGCTGGTTGCCCTGACCGCTCCAAACACATAACCACACTTCTGACACCAGGCGTGTCGCGGCAAGGAAACCACAAAGACACAGCAGTCCGGGAGGTTCGGATACTTCACATACTTTCACAGGGATCGGGGTGGGAGGAGGGGTGGGGTGGGATTCCTAACAAGCCCAAGTCAACAAGCCGCAACCGATCGGGGTGCGCGGAGAGAAGTCTAGACCCTCGCCATTGGAGGAATCTTGGCGCTCCAAAGCAAGGGGCCACCCGAAGGGTCACCCCTCAGACCCCCGAAGCCTCCAATCGAGAGCCCCCACCCCTCAGCCCTTGGAACAAAACTCATTTGGAGGGCCCAGAATCAATCAGGACTCTTTGGGCAACGTGGCAAACCTGGTATCAAATGAATGTGCTTCAATCGATAGAAGGCGCTACAATGGCTTGAAGGTTTGGCATGTTCCATCTGAACTAGCATGTTCAATCGAGCTTGGACGGTTGAAGCCTCAAGCAAGCAAAAAACAAGCAGGACAACCTGCTTTTGCAGGGCTTCGGCGCCTCCTCCATGTCCTGCCGAGTTAAAAAGATATGCCAAGCGTTTAGGGAGCTCAAACTAGACTCACTGGGCTTGGGACTGATCTGGAGAAAAAGTCTCAACGTGGGACAACGATTCAAAATCCCACACGGCCTTGCGGCAGACAGGTTCATTTGGGTATGGGTCAAGATCAAACCACCAGGTTGTGGACCTCAGATTTTAGTCCATGTGTCCATGGGGCAACCCATTTTGGGGTTAGCCTATATTTAGCCCACAGCCATTAGAGTCAGAATCAAGACCCGGTAATTAACATGGTCTACCCAGAACCATGCTTCAAGAATTAAGAAGGCGGATATCCGCTGCTATTTATGGTTGGGAGTATCCCTAGCCTTCACCTACCCGGTTTTGAGCAAGTGGCTCATTTGTCGAGTCTGGCACTGGGAGCGGCCATCTAAGCCCCGCACTGGCCCTGTGAGCGAGGTCGCTCCAAGCCGTGTGCCATTCGAGCCTCAAGCCACAGGGCTTTGGACCTCCCAAAATGACGGTCCCTTGGTTTCCCTTAAAACGACCACCCAAATGGGGCAGGGTACCTTCCCAAAAGCACACACGGCTACGAGAGGAAGCTAGCTTACCTTGGAGCCCAACGTCTGCTTCCATTGCAAATGGCAAAAGAGGGCACGTCTCTTGGTTGCTCTTGACTTCTCTGCAAAAAACTTAACTTGTTGTGGGTTCAACGGAAAATCCATTGTTTCCCAAAAAGTGAAGGACCGAAGATCCAACCAAATAGCCACACAGGTCTGGGCGTCTGTTTTTTTGCGGTAGGAATACGCGCGTCAGCGACCCAGGGGTCCAAGAAGAACCCACTGGAGCCTGGCTCAGAGGTGTGGAGGCTAGTGGCTCCACATGATCAAGAACCAAAGGTTCAAATCCCCTGCACAAATCCAAACCGAAGGCTTACCTGAACCTAACAATCTTTGCGGTCCGTCCGCTGGTTTCTGCCCAACAAAAACACGTCCAAAGCCGAGCCCCGTTTTGTTTCAGTGTGGAGTGCCGCCCAAACCCCGACTGCTCTCACTGCCGGCTGAGCGGCCGGCCAGGCTGAAACATGCCGCGAAGGTTCTACGTGTTCTACGGTCTCCGACGGGAGGCGTTGCAATAAATCATCGCTAAAAGTTTTCTCAAAGTCAGTCAGTTTACCTTAGTGGGGAAGGGTGCCCAAACTGACCAGCTCAAGAATATGTCAATGTCAGCGAACGCAGCGGACAAGGAGGATTTAATGAGACAGCCAGGCATGGCCGTAAGAGCAGGTCTTGTAAACTCCAGATGTCTTTGATCACATGGGCTCTCATGATCATGAATAAGTGCGCTGTTGATGACGTGGTCTCCCCGACATTGCTGCTTCTACTGCGCGAGAGGGCAGCGGCCACGTGGTTGCGATTCATCAATCGTCCACTACCCCACTGTACTGCACTGTACTGTACTGTATGGGTGTGTATATATATATATATACGTATGGGCCTTCATTGATTCATGAAAACCCCCGCGACGTCAGCAGGTAGACGCCCTTACCACAATCGTCAGCAGGCCTTGTGGACATGCCTTTGGTTTGCGCAGGGACGCCAACAGACGGAACTCACTAGTGGGAATTGGTGAGCCGTATCCAGGTTCTGCCAATCACTGTGAAGGTTCATCTAGCTCGCAAAAAGCAAACAAAAAACCTGTGAAGCCAGGGATGGGTCTGTATTTCAGGGCCACCTAGTGGGTTCTTTTGAAACAAAAGAACAAGGAAACACCAAACTAGGAAAGATCCTGTCGTCGGCACACCGGCGTCGCTTCCATGGGCCTTTTGGCGCCCTTTAAACCCCTTGAATACCCCCACAACCTGCAAATACCAACGGCTTTGTTTGGTTGGTATCATGTCAAGTCACGAAAAAAGGCGAACTTGTCCATGGAAAAACGGCTAGTTGTTCAACAAATACAACGCAAAAAAGAGGGTGGTCGGAGTAGGGGGCAAAGAACGAGGGATCCGCACCGCCAGGAAACTGAATAAACACTGGCGGGCCCCTTTGCTTACGGTCAAAAGGCCAACTCTGCCAACTGCGTTCGAAGCCCGTCGCCTTGCCTTTCGCAAAGAGGCCAAACCAAGTTTGACACTGCACGTGAGTCAAATGAAGCCTTTGGGGGACACGAAGAAGACCGGAAACAGCATGAGCATTTAAATTCATGCATGAAAGGCCAGTGGCTCCGCCTGATGTGTGCGCCCAGACTTCTCCAGGGTGCACGCCTGTCGCGTTCCCAACGGGTGAACTCCGTGAGACATTGCCAGGTCTCTGCGAACCCGCGGAGTGGTTGGACCGTTGCTCATATATATACGCCCTGTTCTGAAGCCTCCACTCCGTTTGCATGTCCGTGGAAAAGCAACAAGACACGATCCCCTGGAAAAGAACGACTCAGCGGTTGCTTTAACTCCGCCCCCGAATGGAGAGCACCCATGGAGCGAACGTTGCCGGGAATAGACCAATGCAGGGATTCCAAACCAACCAAGCAGGTATCAACTGTCAAAACCATGAGGTCCTTCTCCAAACCTGCCATCCAAATATGATGATGGGATTCCAAAAGGCTGAGCCAAATCTCTTGGAAGCACCTGTCGGAATGCAAGTCATAGTTTTCTTCGGGGAAGAATCGGTGTGAAGGCACTGGCGACCTTGGCACCTGCTTCCAAGGCACTGGCTATCAGCTTCAACAAAGGCTGAGTCATCATATGCGCGTGTACTCACATTGCCGCTTTGTGCATGTCTATACATATACATATATATATATATATATATTATGTGTGTTCTACATTTTTAGAAGTAGACCATTACATGTATGCCATTAATATGGCAGTATATGGAAACCAATTGCATGGTCAGCGCATAGCTACCAGCCAGCTTGAAGCGGCGATTTGAGGGTCAAGCTCCCAAACTCGCAGTTTTTCAATACGAAAGTAGGACAAAAAAGGTGAACTTCCGCAGCCCGGCTTGAATGTCGCAGCGTTTGAATACGACAGCCGTACGCGAACTAAACTTGCGCAGCCTCGAAAGCCAAAACATGTCAATACGAAAGTAGTACACAAAGTAAACTTCCGCAGCCCCAGCTCGAAAGTCGCAACCTGTCGGTTCCAAAGTAGCGCGCGAAGCGCGCTTCCACAGCTCCAGCTCACACAAGCCGTGAGCTACACACAAGAGGACCCGTTGGCCTCATGTCCGAGGTCCGTCAACTTTCGCGAAGCTTTCGCGGATCTTACGCCAAACATTTGCGAAAATCTGGCTGGAAGTTGCACTCAACTTGACACGAAAGCCAAAACTCCAACAAGCTGGTTTCTGCTGGCTGGGGGTTGCTTTTGCAGCGGCATATTCTTGCAGCGACAACCTTAGTCTGCGGGCATTCTGCGCGCACTGCCGATAAATACACCTGGTTCATCACTCCAGCTTCCTGTTAGCAAGCCATCCTTGCACAAAACTTTCGCACAACAAAATAAATTTCGCAACCGCCTTCGCAGAACTTTCGCGGAGGTCAACGCTAAGACCAAAAGGTCTTCCCCTTAGCTCAATACAAGGACCTTTCGGACGACTCTCATGTATGCCATTCATATGGCAATATATGGAAACCAATTGCATAGTCAACACATGGGTATGGGTCAAAAATTTTAACCACCCGGGGACCACAGGTTTTAGTCATTGTTTCCATTTCCCAGGGTTCCGTTTTGGGGTTACCCTATTGACCCACACCCACGCTACCAGTCACCTTGCGGAGGAATTCGCATCCGCTTCGCCGCCAACCGCATGCCAGGTCTGCCAGGAGGAGGGCGCCGTTCTTGCCCACGCCTAGGACCTGCGGAAAGCACAAATCACACGCTTCAACATCTAGGTCCTCCAGACTTGAGAGGGTAGAATAAGTTGGTACCCGATTTTGTTTCCGGTTTTGTCGATTCTAGTAGGGGAACCCTCGCCCAAAAAAAAGGGTAACAGGGCACTACTGGGCGACCTAGACATGGGTGGGTTTGTAGGGGAACCCCCGGCAAAATGAGTGGTGTCCCTATGGTCTCCCCCTAAAAGACCACCCCAAAGGCGCTTATTACCCAAAGACCACAGCTTGGAATCACTCAATTGCGTGTGAGCATGTCACAATGTCCTTATCAAAATCCACAATCTGATTGCCTCCCGAACGGAAACGCTTAATCTCACGGCTCATGCCATCTGGCACTTCAAAAAGAAGCTGCTCCCACTCGAGAGCAAATCATTCAATCGGCTGTACATCGCACAACTCAACCTTTGGGTGGGAAAGGGTCCGACAATGTTTCGCCCACTTCCCATTTGCCGGTTTCCCCAATGTTCATCCATGTTCATCCTATGTTTGCCAGACCTTTTGAATAACCCCCCAAGTGGGTAAATGGTGATTTGCTCAATTGCCCAAAAACCGTTCGATGAGCGGCTCCTCCCCAAAAGGTAAATGGTTTTCGGGGAAATTTGGCTCGTCCCCAAACACCCGCCACCAGGAACCCTCGGTTGCTTTCTGCTCCCCTGCTAAAAGTGACTAACTTTTAGTGGTTTAATTCGGAAACTCATTAGTTGGCAAAAAGTTCTCGAGTCCGAACATCCCTTGGCAAAATGCACCAACGAACCCCCAGGGCCCATTTGGCTGTGGGTCAAAAATAGGGTAACCCCAAAATGGGTTGCCCTGGTAAATGGAACCAAGGACTAAAACCTGCGGTCCAATTCCCGGCGGTTTGATTTTGACCCACACCGAACCCCCAAAAGGAGTAAATACTCACTTGCTGAGTGGATGGCCCAAAAAGAGTCCAAACTTTAGATTTGCCACTAAAATGGTCTTCCCAAAAAGTTTAGAGTTCATGAACTCAGGAAGGAGGAAATACTTTTTGGGTACATGGCTCCCCAAACACCTGCCAAAGAACCCCCAGCGAATACCCCGCCGCCTCGAAGCGAGTGGCTGCGGTCTGGCCTTCCAAGTTCACCGCGCGCCGCACCGGATCCTCCCTCGAAGTCGAATCGAGGGAAATCGAGCATGCGTGCCTGTCTTGGGGCAACTGGGCATACCTCAGTTACCTCTACCTAGAGGGAATGGGCAGGGTACCTCAGTTACCTCTAGAGTCTAGAAGAAGGGTCGTAACCCCTCGATTTTGGGTCATGACCCCATTTGTAAAGGATCCGAAGGAGATAGGTGGCCTTTGGGAAAAATAGATGGCCCTGGTACATGGAACCCATCTAAACCAGTTTCATCTATTTTTCACCAGGCTCACCCAAAAAGGACACCTATGTAACGGAGCATGTTTGCCTCTATCTTGGGGCAAATGGGCGTACCTCAGGTAAAAGGGTAGTTACCTCTACCTAGAGTCTCCTTCTGACCCCTGGAAAAAGGGCTCATAACCCCTCAATTTTGGGTGACCACAGTTTTAAAGGATCGGAAAGAAACCCCAGGTACTCAAAGAGTGGGTGGCGAGATAACCCACAAACGCCGTGGTTATAAGTCTCGGTTCAGTGGGTTACAGCCAGGCTCACTAACCACTTACTAAGTACACAGCACCTCTGAGCCCCAGTATAATGGTAACTGGAAGCACTGAGCCTCACATGACTTTCGGAGCGAATCAAACTCGAGTGCTCGGCGAGTCGGGATCTTTGCCAATCGGTGCATCCACTACCTGGCGGCGGCGTGTAAAACCCCCCCCCCTGCCCCCCGAGGATATGGTGAAGACTTACTCCCTTGCGAATAGCCACGTCTTATTGGTGGAGTTGGTACAGTTGTCAGCTTTGGTAATTGGCTTGCGACTTCTCCATTGGCAGGCGCAAAGCGCAAGCGCTCACTGCACTGGCAAGGGCGATACTTGTAAACACGTGCAAGGCAACCCCTAAGTTGTTTGAAGCAAGCAGGCGCAACGTGTTGTTGACGAACATCAAAGGAAGTCTTGAAACACTGATTGAAGCAACCAGGCCGGGAGAGGGATGCTTGGCTGAGATTTAGCATGACAGCGCAACGTGTCATCTTCACTTCATTGAAAGGCATATTAGCTCCGCGACTCAAATCCGTGATTCGCGTCGACGCTACTGTCAAAGGAATGTTTAGGTACCCCTCCCCCCAATGCAAGCCCTCCAATGAAGAACCCTGAAACGTGACAGTGGCTTGGCTTACTTAGCCAGCGAGCTGAGCTGTGAACAGCCTTGTAAGCGGAACCTCACAAGACGCCATGCATGACGTTAGCTGACAACTCTGAATTTCCCGCGTTAGGGTCAGTGTCCTCATGACTCATAAAGAACCCGAACCAATTCCTCAGGGCCCGTTGATAAAACAAACCCATGACCCCTCCAATGCAGGTTTCCGGGTGCTGCAACGAAGAACCCGCACCCCTCCATGTTGAGGGCCAAAAAGTCAATGGAACGGGAGGCAGGGGATGCCTGATCATCTTAACCTGTGCGCGCGCATTTCTCCTCTCGCCACGCGAAATCAGCCGCCAGGAGGATATGGTCCTTAATGTGAGCAACAGTTCGGAGAGCCAGGCTAGATGCGTTTCGCAGCCATGCTTGCCACGAATGCACCTGGTACATAGATTCATGCCTTCTTGCATTTTGCATAATGGAGAGTCTGAGAGAGAAGGCTCCACACAAAACCTGAAGGACACCCTCCGGACCGCACGTCCTTAGTTTCACCTGGGTCCAGTGAAGCAACATCCCTCAAAAACACTCCCCTCAACATCCAGGGTTTCCCACTCCCAAAAAAGGGGGCAACTTTGCGAACCCCTCAAGATGTAGCCATTGACTTCAGGTTGTTCGACCCCTCTGGAACGTCCACTGCCAAGAGTCGCTTGGAAAGCTTGTGGATGGCAAAGCGGTTTCCGCCGCCGCGGCCTGCGCCGTGGAAAGCGCGTGGCGAATCGGTCAACCCCGATGAAGAAATGAGGGACCTGTTCTCAGATCCCCTGCGAAAAGTTCAACTTTTGGTGGGCTAAATGGAAACCCCCGCTAAACCCAAAGAAAGTCAAAAGACTCAGGGGATGGGGAGCCACCAAGGGACCACCTTTGTGTGGAGAAGGCCTTTTTGGCCTTCACCCGCGAGGAGTGTGACAGGTCAACAGGATGAGGGATGAAAGAGGAATCCAACCCTCGAGAGATGAATGCTTGCCACCAAGGAACCCAACTCCCTAAAACCATGAATGCTTGCCAGCACTCCCGGAATTGCAGGACACCTCATGTTGTGTGACAAAAAAAGGTACTGAACCCACAAATTGGGGGGGGGTTCCTTTTGATTGCCCCTTACACACCTATACGCTAAAAGGGTGCCCTCCACAACACGCACGCGCATAAACACACACACACACAAAGACACATGCGCGCACACACACACGGGGAAACAAAAACAACAACAACAAAAACACACACACACAAACAAGCGAACACAGAATACATACGCAAACACACACACAACCATGAACACAGAAACACACACAAACACACACACACAAGCCAACAAGCAAGCCAGCCAGCCAGCCAGCCAGCAAGCAAGCAAGCAAGCACAGAAACAAAAAAACAAACAAACAAACAAACAAACAAACCAAACAAACAAACAAAAAACAAACAAACAAACAAACAAACAAACAAACAAACAAACAAACAAACAAACAAAGAAAGAAAGAAACAAACAAACAAACAAACAAACAAACAAACAAAACAAACACACAAGCACACAAACAATCAACCAACCAACCAACCAACCAGCCAACCAACCAACCAACCAACCAACCAACCAACCAACAAACAAACAAACAAACAAACCAACAAACAAACAAAGCAACAAACTAACACAGACACACACACAAACACATATAAGAACCACGTACAAGCATACACACGTTATACACACGCGCACACACACACAGTTGAAGAACACACATAATTACACACACTCACAGTAACATGCAAAAGCACACTAGCATGCACAAATGCACATGCACACAAACACGCTCACAAAACACACACACACACACAGACACAGACACAGACACAGACACAGACACAGACACAGACACAGACACACACACACACACAGACACAGACACACACACACACAGAAACAGAAACAGACACAGACACAGACACAGACACAGACACAGACACACAACACACACACACACAGACACAGACGCAAACACACACACACACACACAGACACAGACTCGAACGGAGACACACTCGTGACTCACCCAAAAACACACACGCACACACAAATGTCCTGTGAACCCCTGGACTTGGTTGACGTTGGAAGGGCAGCAAAAAATTGAATTTTAGCAGTTATGTGGGGATTTCAACCACTAAACCACAATAAGCAAAAATGTAAACATGTTTCCCAACAACAACCATGTGGAGTTTCAGGAAGCGCTCATTTCTTTGGTCTGCAAGCCTTTTGCCCTAGCCTCACGGCTGGGCATGGGCGCCTCTGCAACCTGTGGAAGTGGCCGGGTGCGATCAATAAACACATGGGCTATGCAGCTCCCATGCTCACTTGCTGAGTGGATGGCCCAAAAGAAGTAACCTAACTTTATATTTACCACTGAAATGGTCTTCCCAAATCCCAAAAAGCTTGAAGTCCATGAACTCAGGAAGTGAGCATGTCAAATGAGAAAAGTGGAGACTTCGAAAAAGTGGGCGCCCGATACCTTGTTCTGCGCAGGACTTGGTCAAAACTCCTTACGTCAGCCATCTTCCATGGTCAAAAAGGTGGCAGTGTCTACCATGGAACCAGGTGTTCAAAAAACACCCACTCAAAAAAAGAAGCAGGTATTGGGAATAGGGAGTTGTTTTGGGGTTGCACAGTTATGATTCCCCACTATACCTAGGGACATCCCCTATCAATACACTGATTCATACGGTGGATGGACGAAATCCTGCACCACCGTTCAGAATCCCTGGTTTCTGATGATTTCCCTGGAAATACCAACAAACGATGGTTTCCAATACTTTCAAAGTGGTGCGAGTTCGGATTTCGCAACCATCCGCAGTTCTAGCTCCCTGGATTTTGGGTGGCACCATTTGTCTGGTCAGAAGGTGTTGGTCCATTCTTGCCATTTACCAGGAAAACCATTAGGGTACCTAGACTCTCCATGATTCAAAAATGGGTCCATGACCAACCATGATTTTGGGCAATGACCCTCCCCATTTTTGGTCAGGGTCAGAGGGAGACTCCAGGTACCCATTTTTGACCCAGCCAGCTTCCACAATATTCTAGGGGTTGATTCCCCATTCTTTTCAGCCATCGTTCTTTTCCAAAACCAGCCATTTCCCCAGGGTTTTTGGTGGTTTTCTAGAAAGAAGGATCCCTGGAAAGAATGGGGAAGTTACCCCTAGAAGTATGGGGTCCAAATTGGGCTCTTAATCGCCTTCTCGAAGGTCTGCTCGTCATAAAGTATCCAATCCTCAGCGAATTCGAATTCAGCGAGGGGCTGGGTTGGTATACGTAGGAGACCCAAAAACCTCTAAACATGTCATACCCCAAAAAAACACAATGTGTTGTTTATTATGTTTTTATTATTTTTTGTTTCTGAAAGCATGAGGTTCTCAGATTGAGTGATTCACAGGTTTTTGAGTCTCCAGGTAAATATGTGGGTTGATCAAAAGGTCCTTTGCATGGGATGACCATTGGGGAAAACTGCTACAAAGATGATATGTCCCACGAAATGGGAAAAGTTACTCATGGCCATTTGAGGGGCCAGGAATATTGATCAACCCATTATATGAGCCCCTGGTATGAACAGTAAGTTTCCTTATGAACGCGGAATGTTTAAGGATTAATTAACCGCTAGCTATGGCTCTATAAGAAATGAGCCCCCGACAGATCCTGGGGTCATATATGGACCTATCAGCCCTTGAATTCAGCACGGGCTGTCCTTTAATGAATCATGGACGGGAACGCGTTCAAATGAGATGAAAGCAAAGCCAACAAGATGCCCCCACCCCCCCACCCCCTCACACCCATGTTCCGGGTTCCCCGATTTTTTGATACATCCCCGCATTCTGGCCAGATGACTCGTCGCATTCGGGAATCACCTGCACTGTCAAGAGAAATGCCTAAGCAACTTCATCACGCGAGAGCTTGAGGTGAGCTTATATTCCAAAATGCGTGTCTTTTTTAGGGGAGCCCCCCAAAATGGTGGTTTTCCTTTTGGTTTCCCTTCAAAAGCTAACCAAACAGGGGGGTCCCCCGCCCAAATGCAATTTTGGTCAGAGGTCCGGCCTCCAGCTACAATGTGCCACTCCCCTTTGGTAAACGCTGACACCTTTTCCAGAAGCAAAACCCGGCAAAACCAAATGGGTCTCAGTTGCCCAGTTTGGATCCCAGAAATAAAGGATAACCTTTTGGGACCTGTGCTGAAGCAAGCCCAACACGTGAAAACCAAAAGCTTTGGGCAACTGAGAGGTGGCATTTCAGCGGAATCCAAAGAAGGAGGGCTCAATCATCGGTAATTTCAGGCCAACCACGTTCGTTTTTCTAGGGGTTGATTGCCCATTCCTGTCAACCATCGTTCTTTTCAAAAACCGATCGTTCTGTTTCCCCTAGGTGTTTCAAGGTTTCCTGAAAAGATTCGGATCCCTGGAAAGAATGGAAATGGAAAGTACCCCTAGAGGTTTACCCAAACTCACCAAAACAGAACCTGACTCAAGTGCTAAGCACCTGGCCAGGCACGCCTCGTAGCCGCCTACAGGAAGTCCCCGATCCCAACTTCAACCAGTGAGAATCGATCTGCATTAACCAAAACCTGGGTTCATTCAACCACCCTCCCTATCGCACTAGCAAGTTGATCCATACCATCTTACAAAGTTTACTACAAGGTCAAAAGCTGGACTAAGAGTTGGATCCCCCCAAAAAAGGACTCTTATCATAGCTCGTTTTACCCATCGGTGAGCTCGCTATGACCTAGGCAGGAGTCTATGGAGGGGTGAATTAGGCCTCAAGAGGTTTGCATACGACCAGGGAATAGCCCCAAGCGGGTGCCCGGGCGTGCCTCTGAACAGGTGCTGTGGCTTGTTCCGTGAGAGCCTCAAACAAGAACCACACCTGGCTTCTCAAAAATGAGGAGGATCACTCATCCTAACTCAAAAAAATCGTAGTGGGGCACCACTAGAATAATATGAGGTTGTATAGAAAGTAGGGCTATGAACTGAATGAACCATTTCTTGTCTCACTTGATGTTATTGTGTTTGTTATCGCGTTGTCGTGAATCGCTTCCAAGGACATTGTGAGTCAAATGCAGCCATGCCTTTCGTCCTGTTTCTTCGGCCCAGCGCTGTACGCTTGAACCACACCTCTTCGATCAAGCGTCAAAAGCTCAACTCTTCCCATATCCTTATTTTGTTAACTCTTCATCGCGTTGAAGGGGACACTGCATGTTTGGTCCAAACAGCACTGCCCGCAGCTAGAGCCCTATTCCCCCCATCTCATGCAACCCTATCAGACACAAAGACTATCGAATTTGTAAAAAAAAAAAAAAAACGTGCGCTTGCTTTGCACGCTCGGGTCCGGTTTTTGGTTCAATCAACCTACCCGTTTTACCCCCATTTCAAAAAGGTCACCAAAACCAACAGGTCCTCTCACCCGCTGGTGACTTGGTGGCCCAGACAAGCCGCAGGTCACCAAACTCGACCTTGGTTGCTGTGGACCGATGGGAAGTCCGACCTGCTTCAACCAAACAGCTCAAGACAAAAGATCCGCTACCAAACCGCAATAGACTCCATTTCACCGTAATTGCCCCTTCACCAAAAAAGAAAAAGCATCCGGCGTCCTCGACTCGGATCACATCGGCTCGACGGCCCGCGCCAACGAAGTTGGTGAACTCCGCATTCAACGCCGAGGTGAGAGGCGGGAACGGGGACTCCAGCTGCAGGCCCAAGCCTACAGCGAAAACCGATGCATCCGCATGTAACGCTCTGAGTTCATGTGTATATATATATATATATATATACACATACATTCACACTATGAACATATATATATATATGTATGTATACATATATATATATATATAAAGTGTATATATGATCACATCATATTATACTATATATGTATATATATATATGTATATATATATATATATATGTAAGCTACCCCTTCCCTGCAAAACGAAAGAATAAAGCAGACTTTGCATGTGGATTGTTGCATTTACATGGCATTCCAGAAGACTAATAGTCGTGTGGAGAAAGCAACTGAGGATGGACAAGCAGACTGTGCTCAGGATTCTTTATTTTGTGGAATTGTAAAAGGGGACAGCTGGCCACATTTGCCGCATCTGCAGTCAGTCACTCGACACATCTGAGTAGTCCTTCAGATTAGCAGCACGTTTTCTTCAGTCTAGTTGCAGCAACAGTTCAATCTTGGTGTAGTGTTGGTTTAGCGTTGCTGATTTTCATGTGCAATTGTCTTTGGAAAACCTAGGTTGTCCGTATCGTAGAGCAAGCCGAAGCAAGACAAACAAAACAAATCCCTGCAAACTGCAACACGTTTTGCGAACACACACATTCAAAGGGCAAAACCTGTTAAAGCCATGAAAGGTGATAATGTAAGGATCTACACTTTTGTTTACGTGTGTTTTGTTGTTTATCATGTATGCATCCGCTTTTACTGGTGGGGAGTGGTAAAACACGCAACACATCCTGAAGTCTGGTTGTAGATGTTTTGCTGTTTTTACTTTTGATTTTGTTTGGGTCCAAACTCAAAACGTGCTGTTTTATTTTTCGCTGTATTGTGTTTCCTGGGGTAAAGCAAGAAAGACAGTGCAATCTACTTTTTGCCTGGTACTGGCTCTACAATGGAGAACCTAGGCTTTGTTTGGGCACTACCATACATATTGTATATATATATATGTATTATGTGTTTGCTTGCGTGTTTGTGTGATTGTTTGTTTGCTTTGCTTGCCATCTTTCTGGGGTTGTTCAAGAAAATCACGGGGAACACACCCATTTTGGGGAGCCTTTGGAGACAAAACCAATATCCTGAGCCGGGCTACTTATTGCGCCTTTGTTTGCTTCTCCGTTTATGTTCTTTCAACATGACCCCTGCGAGGTTTGTCCCACATCCTGCTATTCAGGCTGATATCCTTTCCGCGACCGTCTGTTTTGACCCCGGCACACACGGCGACACAAGTCGTCCACTCCCTCCAGTGGGCCTGGGAAGAAAGGACGGTATCAACACAGAACTGCTGTCCAAGATCAGGGTATGAGAATGAATTAGGGACATGTACGGACATGTAGGGACCCTTTGGTAGACATCGTTTAAAGGGATTCATGTCTACCAACCACTTTTCAGGTAGTAATACCCTCTATGTTTTGAGCATCATGTCAACCCTCTACTAAACAAAACAGGTATTTGCCCTGGACAACCCGAAACAATTCGGGTACTTGGAGGAGGCAGGGGCACTATCTCCACTGCCACTTTGAACGCCTCTTTCCAACCATGGAGGTGGGCTCCGCGGTTATGCAGGGGCTCCACCCAGCGGAAGGCTTCCTCACAAACTGCAGTCAGCTTGCATGACTCTTGGAAAGAGGGCAGTGCAGGAGCATGGTAGACCACCCTTTGCCTAAACACGCTGAGGCCAAGAATGTTCTTGCGCAAGCTCCTGTTGGTTTTTAGTTTTGAAGGAGACACGGATCTGAGTTTGCAACCAGCCCTGATAGCAAATGCGAGCCTGCCAGTGCTGGACCCTCCTCAGACTCCTCCTCCAGCTTCTTGGCCACTGCCTCAGCAAGCAAAAAAGGCGCAATTGGCTCTTCCAGGTGACACGTTTAGGATGGGGCCCCGGTTTTGCCAACCACACTCCTGTTTCTTGGACCCATGAATACAAGGTAACATGGAGGTCGCGCAACAGGTTTGTGGTTGGGAAAACCGGGGTCCCACGGCGGGTTGAATGGGACATTTGACACGCTGACCGTCCCAAAAGGGCCCTTTGGCCTGTTTTGGACTTTATGCTTGCAACCAGCAAATGTGAAGTGTTTGCAGTGGCTTGGGTCAGTCTGGCTCAGTTTCACTAAAGGTCAAGATATAGATTTTGCGCATGGCCGGTGAATCAAGGAGGCTGCTCGGTCACCCTTTCAAAGCCTTTGCTAGAGGCTCTAGAAAAAAAACAACAACACGGGAAACTAAAAGCTCAAAAGGTCTACTCGCTTTGGGCAGGCGGCAGGCGAGTTCTTGCACAAAAGATTCAACTGAGCAGCAATCAAAACCCACTGACTTTTGGTTCTACTAGATGTCTCTAACGGTTTATGCAAGCATTATATACTGCAACTCCAATTGAACCACGTAGTAGAACCTACTAAAATGCCCAATAAAAGTTTTGGACACTCAATCGAGTCGAGCCCCAACCGAACCTTCTGATTCACTTCCATTTGCTTAACCTCCCTGGAAAACATATGAGAAACGTATTTCCACTAAACAACCAGGTGCTTCAAACAAAAAAACAAAACAAAACACACTGAAAGCACGTTGCCCCCGCAGAAGTGCTCCGGGGCCCTGACCCTCTGCTGCTCCACTGCGATTTCGGTCTTCTGCTTCACGACCTGCTTCGGTTTATTCAGGGTGTTGGAATGGCGGGGTCTGCCAGGCTTCTTTGCTTGTGAATGTTTGCTGGTTAGTTCGTCAGGTAGGTGGTTACTTAGTTAGTTCTAGTTCTAGTTCTAGTTCTAGTTCTAGTTTGCTTAGTTGTTTGCTTGCTTGCTTTTCATACGGTCTTCGCAAAAAGCGACCAAAGTTCAGGAACTCCAAGGCTGAGTGGCCATGACTCCAAACCCGGCCTGGGCCAAGTCCTGCGTCGCGGCTTTGGCCTCAGCGAAAAGCAACCCGAGGGCTCTGTCAACCGTTCTGCCAAAAAACCGGGGTTGACCAAAAGGTCCATGAAATAAATCCATGGGATGACCATTGGGAAACCACTCAACCGATTTGATATTTGCCACATGGGAGAAGTTACCCACGGTCATTTGGGGGCCCTAAATCTAATATTGATCAACCCCCCAAACCGGGCCCCTTGAGGGATAAATCAAAAAACATCAGCTACATGCCGAAACCCGTCAAAACATCGGGAAATGGAGGCTTTCAGCTTGGCTGGGAGACAACATATCAACATCTCTCTTATTCACCCAAAACCATGCCGTTGGCTTGGAAAAATACATGGTGCAAACAATCCTATGCAACCAAACACTCCTGCAAACCAACAGATCAGATTTCGCTGACTTTGTGCAATCAAAGTACACATTTCGCCCCGTGAACCAACACCCCCGCACCTCTCGCAACATCCTACCCTAAACCAAACCACCCTGCAACCCCTCCTTAACCCCAACCTTAAGCGTAAATCAACCCAAACCTCAAACCCACCCGAAACCCACCGCAAACCAACCCTGAACCAACCCTGAACCAACCCTAAACCAACCCACCAAGCCTAAACCAACTCCGAACCACACCCCACCACCCAACCACCCCACCCCCCCCCCCCCCCCCCCCCCCCCCCCCCCCCCCCCCCCCCCCCCCCCCCCGGGGGGGGGGTGGGGGGGGGGGGGTCCACGGCCTGGAACATATATATATATATATATACATACACCCAAAATACATTTCCAGGGGCATGACCCCCATGTTTGATGGGTCGTGAAGTCTCCAGCAACTGGCCAGGTGAACCCATGATTCCGACACGATCCAAGTCTTCAACCAGACCTCTAAGCAGGGAGCGGCTGCCAAATCATCTTCGCAGAGTTCTAGGACCTGGCAATTTCTGAGATGAGATACCTCTCATGGGTAGGCTTAGCCTAGGCTTCCTCTGGCTGTGAATGTTAGGGGCCCACTGGACCACCGGATTCGTCATTTTGGGTTCGCTCAAAACAACTCATGGTCTGGCTGTCTGGTCTGGTGGCTCCGGAGCGAAATAGGGCACCACGCAGCATCGAGAACGCAGCAAGCAAACCGAGACAAAGACGAGCATCACCACAAGGCAAGGCGGAACCGAGACAGAGACGCGCCCAATATCAAACAATTCTATCCGGTCTGGTTCAAACAAACTCAGTCTGATCGCTCAAACAATTCTAGGCGTGCAAACTCAGCCTCAGGTTGCGATGAGATGCATTGACTTACAGCCACACGAGCTCGGGGCTGGCAACGACTCTAATGCCTGGGACGGTGTGTCTTTCTTCGGTTGGAGCCCTTCCCAAGGGGGTGGATTTTTTTCGGGACACCCAAAGGCCAAAAAAGACACATGCACTGGTTTCCAGTAGGCGATGCCAAATATCTTGAGACCTGCCAAAGCTGCTGATGAGAAAACGACCTTGCACTAATCATCATGCCCCACCCCCCGAACTCAACAAAGGCGTGCAAATCAATGGCATCCGCCAGTTTTCCAGCTTGTTCAAGCAACCCTGCAATATGACTGGTAGATACTAGGAGACTTACTCGCCTGAAATGAGTCACCACACCTAAAACGGTCTCAGAGAGTCGGAGAGTGTTTGGATGCAATTGGAGGACCCGAATTGCCAGCCAGACGAACCCCCAACTGTACACCATACTTTGGATGGTTTCGATATCCGTTCGCACCACGTTGAAACCATGGGAAATGATGCTTTGCTGGTACTTTCTGGGCAATCATCATTCCAGGGTTTCTTAAATGGTGCGAGAAGCGGTTTCGTCCATCTATAGTCGTACATACCATTTCCTGACTAGGACACCAGCCCTAGCTGAAGAAAACGATTTCCTCAGGGTTCCGAGGCAAACACAAAGCTCCTTTGCCTCTTGGAGACCCGGAAATCAAGGGTTCACCTTTTGGAACCTTGGCAATCCAATTGCTTAAGCCCATGGAAAAAGAAAAAACCCAAAAAGAAACAGTAGTGATAATGTCCCTCTAAAACCAACAAGGGACAATAACAAATTTTCTTAAGCAAATGGAAGTGACCAAATATGGACCAACTCAGGGAGCAAGGTTTAAAGATAAACTCGCTTTTGGGCGAGTGAGGAAGCCAACAAAATCATCTACAGCCATAGGTGAACTTTTGGTAAAATGGATGGGTGTTCTGCCTTTCCACCACTTTGTTCTGGGTCAAAGGCAGAAAAAAGGGGAATCAGTCCACTGGGGTCCCAGGCAACCAAAAACTTCCAATTCTTTAAGCCCCACGAAAAAAATGGACATAGTTTCCAGCAGTAAAACCGATTCCCTTTAAAACGGGGAGTTTTTGTTTGTTTAGCACAAAGCAAATGGAAGTACACGTAGTCTAGAAACCATATATCCACTATTGATTTTGTGCAGGGTGTAACAATATGTTCGTTTGTCTTTACAGTTGCGTCTGGTCTCAGACTCCCTTTATAAAGCAAATGGAAGCACAACGGGCACGTCGAACGCCAAAAATCACGCCGAGCAGACTGGCTCCAGCTTGAGCCCGGTGTCGAGCGCCAGCTGCGCGCAAGCCACCGCCGTCTGAGAGGCAGAGATGGATGCAAAGATAGGGTCATTCCCTGGCCAGTGAACGGAGACTGAAAACCATAGTTTTGGTGGGCTATCTCACCAGGGTGACCAACCCACTTATCCCTTTTCCTTTTGCACCTTACTTCCATTTAATATTACCCCTTTTTTGTTACCTCTAGACTTGGTCGCTGGGTTTTACCATGGCTGCCATTTTTGTGGAAGCACAGGGTTTTGTTAGGGTCGTTCCCCGGGCAGACCAATCCACACACACACACACTACTAAAGGAGCCTTCAGGAGCCCAAAGGGTGACGTTCCACACCAAGATGAAAAGTTCCCTGGGCGGAATCCCAACTAGGACAATTAACATTCTACGGATTGATCCTAATACCTGGGATTACGCGGGAATGAATCTACTGAAAGGGGCAGCGTACTTAGTAAGTTAGTAAGGGGCATTCCCTCAGCGTCATCCACGGGTTGTATTAGGACAATGCCTAGGACCACAGAAGTTCTGGGAGCACTGAGTCACTCATGTTGACCCCATCATCGCCAGGGAAGTGGTTAGTAAGCCTTGTGAAACAACCCACTGAGCGGAGACTTAAACAAACATGTTTTTTGTGGGTTATATATTTCACTATGGTGATTAGGCCACTTACTAAGTACCCGATCGCCCCTTTGAGTAGGGTCATTCGCCCAGCGTAATCTACAGGTTGCAATAGGACAATCCTTAGAACCAATGAATGTCTGGGAGCACTGAGTCACTGATGTTGACCCCATATTAATCAACCCCAGTTTAGTAATAGGGGGGGTGTCCCTTAAGTTTAGTGGGGAATCATCACTTGAGGGGAACAACCCCCCTATTCATCAACTGGGGTTGATTGATATGGGGTCAACATTAAGCTAGGTTCTCCAGTAAAGAGGTTAGAATAAGGGTACCCTTTTTTCTGCAGTCTACTTAGTAGGGGAACCCTCCCCCAAAAAAGGGGAGAGAAGGGCACCTAGCTTGACCGAGTTAAGCCTCCGACAGAAGTCTTGAAGGTCTGCTTGGATGCCAGCAGTCCCGCAAGCGCGTCCCTCGAGCCGAATCTCGCGAACCCAGAAACGCACACAACGCCGCCGCGTCGAACCGAAGCCGACCAGAAAAAAGGCACGGCGCAGCTCGGATTTTGCCATGGTCTGCACGTTGGGTTTACAGGGTTCCAATGAAGCTGCCACTGGAGGTCCGAAAAACTGGGGTACCCTTTTCGGGGAGCAGGGAAATCAAAGTGAAAACCACCTTAGTTCGTGCATCTCTTGCCAACTCTTAAGCTTTTAGTGGGATGTCTGATAAAGCACCCGCCGAAAAACGCAAAGTCTGAGGAACCGTATGGCTAGGAACCGCCAAGATACCCAATTGGCAGCCCCCTGGCGCCAAACAAATCGCTCCGTCTCTGAGGCCGGCGGCCACGGCGAAGCATCGAGCGGGAGTGCCTCGCAGCGGAAGGGTTTTTGCGTCTATTTGTCTTCGATACCCTCACTGCATGGATTGGCTACCAGAACGTCCAAACTTCTGATTTACCACGAAAAATGTCTTCCCAAAAAGTAACTGAAGTCCAGGGAAATCAGGGAGTGAGTACACATTCAAATTGAGTTACGAAAAAAACAAAAATGACACCTGAAAGGAACCACCTGGAAGACATCGCCTCCAGGATTTGCCGTTGAAACAAACCAATTCCCAGCGAGTCCACGCTTTGGGTTGAGGTCAAGGGAACCAAGCCTTAACCAGAAGGATGGCGAAAGGATACTCACTCCTAGAAATGAAAGGTGTTCGCCTTTTCGGCGCATGACTAGACGACCAAGAGGAACTAAACTGGGCCCTCGGATGCCCCGCTGAAAGTTAGCTTTTAGTGAGCTGAATGGAAACTACCACTTAACCCTAAAAGCCTAAAAAGCTAAGGAAGCGGCTGGGAGCCACCAAGTAAAAGGTCGGATACGGTCGATTCGCTTTGGGCAACTGAGGTTACCTATGGACCGTAACCTTTCCGCTGCGCTGTCCTTTTGGCCTTTAAAGGCGGCTTGGGATGTCCACTGAGCTTAGGTCCATCAACCGATGGTTCAACTTGCAGGGCAATCTGGGCACGTGACTGTAAAAACTGCCAATCCAAGAAATTGGGGTGCTTTTTTGGAGTGTACCCCTTTGTTGTGGCTGAAAAAAGGGACAGGCAAACATTGGTTTATCCTTAAACCAGCCCAACCAGCAAAGGGTACCCTCAAAAGAAGTCGCACTCTCTGTTTCCCCGAGGCGGGGAAGGTGAACCCTGTGCTTCGCCAGGCCTCAGCAGCTCACAAGAATGTGTTGACCCATGCTCACCGCCCTTGCCGCAATATCGACCCACTGCTCCACATACCAACGCTTTTTTGCCTGGGTTTCAGTACCACGGAAAATCACATACCCTGCAAAGCGCTGGTGTTTGGAGTACGATCTGCATTTCTAGTCGGGGTTCACATCATACCCTAAAAGAAGTGCGGATTTGGGGTAGGGGGTAGCAGGTATTAACCCTACAAACAAAACCCGCCTATGTGAACTGGGGATATTACACACTTTCGAGGTGCTGGTCATCAAAGTATCCTCGCATCACCTACAGCTTTCTGCCCCGCCTGATCAGCTTGACCTGGCGGCTCATCCTCCTCATCATCCTCCAGAAAAACAAGCAAGCTGTGTCACACGAGTAAGCCATGCTGCCCAGAGTTCGGGGCTGCATACTGGGCCCCTTCAAGTGGCTACAGTATTTGAGGGGGTCTTCAATTGCTTTGGGTAGGACACCATTCTCACTTGCCCGAAGGACCTGCAACTTGACTACCCTTCGATCCCCCGCTAAAAGTGAATAACTTTTAGTGGGTTAAATGGAAACTACCACTAAACACTAAAAGGTTAAACAGCTAAGGAACCGCATGGCTGGGAGCCACCAAGTTGACTGTGGGCCAAACCAGGAAAACCCCAAGTTGTCAAAAGGTGGATTGCCATTTGCTTAAGCCCCCTGGAAAAAATCAACAGAATTCCAGCAGTGAAATCGATTCCCTTGAAAACCAACGGGGGAAAATAACAGATAGGGTTAAGCAAATAAAGTGGATATTCTCTTTGGGCAGGCCACCTGCTTGTGGTCCAGTCCTCCTCGCCCTCGACATGGATACCCAAGGTCACCAAGCAGGAACCTCGGAGCACGGAGCTCTCCCCCCCAGAAGCGCACAAGGGCGATCACCTTCGGTTTCGTGGATGGGATAACCCGTCGTTTCAAAAAAAGAAAGGTGTAAGGAGCAGAGGTGGCCTTCTGGAAAAATAGATGGGTTTCCCTGCATGGAACATATGCCATCTATTTCTGACCAGGCTCACCTAAAAAGGACACCTATGGTAAGGGGGCAAGGGTAAACCAAAGACCAGCCAGGCAGCCATGCAATGCACATTAATTATCCAGGTTTCTGTGGTTGAGTATGGTTGGTGTACTTGCAAAGTTCAGGGGAACCTTGGTATCATTGCAAGTGTCAAAAGAGAGGGACCTGCAAATGGTGGCGATCTTTCTGGGTTTCTTGACCAATGATAGAAAGGGTGGCCTAAAAAACGCAAGCTGATTTGGAACAGCCACACCTCGGTACCATAGGGAGACCCAAAGGAGAATGATGAAACTAAGGAACCCAGACCCCACCCCGGTGGGCCTCATGTTCGAGACTTGTGGCTTCAACAAGTTGCAACAGTTGGCCCATGAGGAATCAGAACTCGGCTATCTCAAAAACACACACCACGTCCAAAAAAAACCGCTGGGTTGCACCCACGATTCAAAACACACATCCAATTCAACACACACACACACAGACCCATCGACAACCTCCTCCCGAAATCGCAAAGTTGCAAATCCTCTTCGCTGAGTGCCATGGACAAAGGGGCAACATCGAGCAAAACACGAACGGCCGCAAACGACACAAGACACACGTGGGCCAATCAACTTGTGCATCTTTGCACCAAAAATAATGCCTCAAGCGTTAAATCACGTCCACTACCTGAAAGTGAGGAAATGAGCTCTCTGTAAAAAGGCAGCCATATTGCACTTCATGTCCCTTTGCATGATCTAGGTCCTCCAGTAGAGAGGTTAGGATTAGGGTGTCTTTCTTCTTTTTTTTGCTGTAGTCTATTAGTAGGGGACCCTCCCCGCCAAAAAAGGGTAAAAGGGCACTACTGGGGGACCTAGTGGTCTCTCTGGCATGGCTGAGCCCGCAGTGGAACATGAGCTTCTTCCCTCTCTCACACCGGCAAGCAACGATATTTCTTTCCAATGATTCACCTCCGCGGAAAAGTGGCTGGGATCAGCCTTCCTTTGAGGGGTAGCGGCCCAATTCACTGGTTTCTAGTCTTCCTAGCAGATCCCCATCAACATCCATCGAGGGATGTTCGCGTCATTCTGGAGGGTTCCGAAAGCTTCAAGGAGCTGGGTGCTTCTGGGGATACCAGAGTAGTCAAAGCCCGGTAAAATGGTGGATCCGAACCATGTGAAGAAATATGAAGGCGGATCTCCGCAGCTATGGTTGGGATCGTCCCTTACTAGCCTTCATCTACCCGGGTTTTGATTGTAGCTCACTTGGGCTTCTGCGTTGGATGATTTTGGGAAACCCATCCCCGCATCGCGCTGGAACCGGAAGCCTGGTTGCAAGCTGCAAACCCCAAAGTTTGAGGGCAGAGATCCCACGCGCTACAAATTAATCCGCTCCCCCTATTAATGAATGACCCCCATGAATAATAAATGCAAATCCGGGGCCCGAGACCAGATTTCCACTCCGCACAATTGATTTTCCATTGCGCCAATACTAAACCAATACTAAAGTCTTGGAATCCTTATTAGGGGGCACTTTTAGCAAGCTTCCAGCCTCACTTTTAAAAAGGTGCGTTCCTCAATTCCCTAAAAGGTTGCTTCCCCAAAAGCTGGCTTCCCCAAAAGGTTGGGTTCTTGTGGTGGGTTCCCCATAAGGTTGTTCTTGACTCTCTCCCCAAAAGGTTGTCCCTGGTTGTCCCTGACTCCCTGACTTCAATGCAAACAAGTTTCAATGCTTTGGGGGGTATTAAGGAAACCAGTGCCTCCACAAAGGGTTCGAAGGGGGTAAAAGAACTGGCTGCAGACTGCGTTTGTCACCTGGCGGCGGTCTGTCTGGTCTGGCTGCCTGGGCAGAGCTCTGTCCTGGGCTTGCCCCAAAAAACTACGAAACATCCTTTCTGCCTGGCTGTCCCTCTTTTTGTAGGGGTTATGAAAAACGCAAACCACACTTACTCCGCCCTGGCTGCCTTGCCTGCCTGGCTAGCTGCACCCAGCTAGGCTGACCTAGCTGTCTCTGTCTTGCCTGGCTGGCTCCAAAAGAAGCACTCCCAGCAGTGCAGCTCAAACCAGAAAAGCAACAACAACATCAACAACAGCTAATTGGCTTCATATGTCAAACAACTGCATATATATATATATATATACATATTTAACAACACCAAAAGCTGCATTGCTGGGGCGCTTTCGAGGCAGCCTGGCTGCCTTTCTGTCTGGCTCACCTATGCCCGGAGGCAAAGGGTGATCCACGAAAAAGACTCCTGTCTTCTCTGCCTCCTGTCTTCTCTCCTCTGCAGCCTGCTCCTCTCTCTGCCTGGCCTGCTGACCACACAAGCCGGGGCTTGCTTGCTTGTCTGGCGTCTTGCCGAAGAAGTAGTCCAGTCTGTAAAACACTGGCTTGCCTCTGCCCATGCTCTGCTGCACTGGAACCATCTGCCTGCTACTGCCTGGGCTGGGCAAAAGCTCCTGCTGACTCGGAGAGCTGGCGGCCCTGACCTTGCTGGGCGGGGTTTGAAATGAAGACTGCCTCTTCATGCTTCCCGTGCTGGCTTGGGCGACCTGTTGCGGCTGGACGGCTTCTGACTGCTGAGGGGCATCCTGGACTGTCTGTTCACTCCTTGCAGCCTTCTTAGACTCGGCTTGTCGTCAAGGAAATGCTTGATAAAACACCTGTGATGCTTGATAAAAAAGAATCGCCATTCTGAATTAGACCAATGTCTGATCTGCATCTACCCCTTCCCCCTGTCCTGGCTGTTCTCCAACATCTGGCGCGAGATGGCCATCTGGCTGGGGCCCAAGGACTGCACGAAGCTCTGTAAGGACTGCTCGGTGTGTCCATCCTGGCTACCAGTCTGGCTGCCTTGACCATCTCCAGCCATTGCAGCCGCCCAGATCAGCAAAATGCTGTCTGCTCTGAGTTTTCTGCCTTGACTGCTGGCTGCCTTCCTATCACTGAATGCATGTCTGGCTGTCTTAAAACCCACACTGCCTTCTCGAGCACTGGACTGTCTAGCAGTCAATCACAAGCTGGCTACCTGACCTGCCTAGCTGCACCCAAATGTTTTTTTTTTTTTTAATTGGGTCCTTTAATTATTGGGGTGTCCCTCAAAAGAAAACATGTCCCCAAAAGCTGTCTAGCTGCGACTGTCTCTCTCCCGTACATGCTGGCTAATTAACCTGCCTGGCTGCAAACAAACAACCAGTAAACTGGTAAACAAATATAATGATACATCAAATTTCCTTATTAAACCGCTTACTCGCGGACCTTACAATTCAATCCATTTCCTCCAAATCCTATGTGAACCCTCACATTGTTGGAAAATCAAAAAAACAAACCCCAAAAACCACAATTATATATATATATGTATATATATATATATATGGGGGGATTTCTTTATAATAGGGGGGGGGCGTATTTATTAATAGGGGGAAGAGATTAGCATGGAACCTCAAAACACAATTTTGTTAGACCAATTTCCCCTTCAGGGGCCCCTTCTTTGGGTTTCATCTTCATTTCTAGAGGAGAAACGCATCATCTTGAACAAATCGCCCTCCCCCCCTCCAAAACGAAGGGAAACCAGCGGCACCATCTAGGCCGAGCCGCGGATCCGCTGGAGTCGCTCCATGCAGGACCGGAGGGTCTCGAAACCGTCCTGGTCAGCTGAGTGGTCTGAGGAGCCTCGTCTCCGGTACCAGGCGTCTCAACGATTGCTTTTTGGTTGCCGTACTTGGAGTTTTGGACATGGGATAAGTGTTGGTGGAGTGTTCGTTGAGCTCGGTAACTCACTCAGAAGTCCCCCGTGCTGGGGCGCCCAAACTCAATTTGGAGTCTCCAAGAACGTGCGGGGGTGCTTGTGTTTAACTGCCTGGTTTGGGTATGCGTCAAGGGATCCAGACCCCCAAAAGGTCTGTTTGCTACCAGTCAGCTCAAAGGTACCCCCCGAGACTCAAGCAAAGGCGCACCCTGGAGGTTGAGCAAATCTCATCTTTCTATGGGAATAATTACCGCACCCTGGGGGTTACACGCCCTCATATTTAGTGTCCAAGGGGGCTCCGGGGGATCCTACCCACAGCACCTGGAAAATGTGAGGTCAACCTTTCAAGACCTTGGCAAGACGTAGGGTAGTGTTCATGCGATATCCACACCCCTAACGGGGACAACATTTGGCTCGGGGAATGCAGGATTGTCCTTTTGATTCCCGGGATTTACCCACTCCAACCGCCTCTTCTACTGCTGGCAACGCTTTCACCAAACGCACATTCTCCCCCATTCCGTTTTAGGGTTCTGGCTTCAGTACTTTCAATCTCTCCCTGACGGCATCCTGATCAAACGCCCATGCCTCTGAAACATCACCCTTGTGACAACTTGGCACCGCTTTCGGACTCTGTCATCTTGTGAGGGGTCCAGTCCCAACAAGAAGTCCTCCAAAAAACGTCCCACGCGACCCTTTTCCCGGCATAGACAAAAACACGTGTTGACTTCAGAAGAACGCCTCTTTGCTAAGGTTTGCGGTGTTTCCGAAATTGCTCTTCCCCCATTTTGGCTTTTACAAGCTCTTCAACCCCAAAGTAGACAAGCGCAGCCCATGGCACCCCCCAGCTCGCCCCACGACCTTCTCCGCCAGCGCTGCATAGGCCTCTTCCCTGGCCAATTTCGGCTCCGAGCCGTTGGCTCGCTTCATTCGAGCGACAAGTGTCCTATGGGCGTCTGGGTGTCTCTTTACTAAACCTGGCCGCTCCCAAAATGGCGCAATGGCCTCCATGTTGTCTTCTGCTTAAAACCACGAAAAGGGTACCAACTCCGAAAAGGGACGAGCCTCGCCATTTGCTTTGAATGCGGACCCTGTGCCTAAACTAACCCATACCTTCGTTGGAGGGTACATCTGTTTGTGGCTCCTAAAGAGGAAATCAAGAGGAGAACCACTTTTATGGGGTGGGGTCCCCTAAAGAAAGACACACTCACATGGTTGAAGCTACCTAATCATTGTAGTGACAAACTAAAAGCACTCGGGTGAATTGCAGAAAAGCTGAGATGCTGCACCGCATCATGAGGTTTGAGGTAAACCCAAACCCATGATCCCACTCCCACCGCCGAAAGCCGCAGACTCGTAAGCCAAAAGTAAAAACACCAGAGTGAGAAATAGACCTGACATAAAACTATACAAACACAAACGCAAAGACACAGACAAACACATACATCCACATCCTGTTGGTTTCCTTTTTTGAAAATATGATAACAGTAATCGTGGCCTGCTTGCTGCTCAAGAAAACGTGACACCGCAATATCCAGTTTGTAAAGCTCTTAATGCTGACCTACCTAGAGTCTCCTTCTGACCCCTAGAAAAGGGCTCATAACCCCTCAATTTTGGGTGATGACCAACCATTTTTACAGGGTCGGAAGGAGACTCCAGGTACTTTAGGGGGCTCCCCTAGGGCCCTTCCAATGAATCCGGGTGACCACGGCCGCCCGAGAACGCTGGCGCGCGTCTGTGCAGGCCTCCTGGGCGAGCGCATCGCCTCCAGCATCTCTCGGGCAGCCCTGCGCGAGGATCCATGGCCCCAACCTGTGGCCATCGGAGCTGCGTGTCTTCCCAAGATGGGCGCCACTTTTAAACCACTACTCCAGGGTTTCATGGGCATTTACAGCCGATATATTGAACATAGATCTATAGAGGGTAAATCATGTTCCACCTGCAATCAGGCTTGGGCTAGGAAACCATCTTTGCTTGTTGGTTGGTAACTTGAGAAAACCATTGGTTGGAAACCCCACATGCTGCACATTGTCACATTGTGTGTGTCTGTGTTTTGTATGAGAAAGCCCCGAAATGCTGGCTTTCCTTGTGGCTTGAAACCAACAAAAACAAGGATACCCGTCAAAAACAACACACCGGTGTGAATTCGTGCCTATATCCCACGCCCTCTCAGAAGCAGCACGTCTCCCTGTTTTAGTTGGTTTTTATCCCTTAAGCTCATTTCCCACTAAAATGGTCTTTCCACAAAGTGAATAAAGTTCAGTGACTCGGGAAACTAATAAGACCTGTCCAAAACGGGCTCCAGATTTCAAGACGCTCCGCGAAGAAGCTCAGGCGCTCACGAAAGGTAGCGCACCGGGCCCAGTCAGGATGGGCAGCGGAGACGCGTCCTAACTCGAATTTCTCGTGAGCTTCTGGTGACCAACATGGACATGGATACCCGAGCCTAAGAAAGACCTCATTTTTAGGCCTTCGGGGGTAGGCCCTCATACTTAGGGTCCAAGGAGCTCCTAGGTTCACACAATCTGCCAGTGACCGAAACATCGACGGTTCAAATCAAGGCTGCCTTGAGACCTTCGCACCAATTCGATCTTCGGATTTTGCCAAATCATGTCCAAGTCTGCGGAATGGGGGCCAAGCAGCTGTGAACTGGGCGTTCCCCAAATTACCAAAGCGAGGGAAGATCGGGCTGGCGGGTTTCCCCGCCTTTCGGTTTCCAATTTCAAATCCATGCTCGCAGCAGACGCGGCAAATTATTTGTTGAGTGACCGAAAGGTACACACACACGGCTGTTCCCATTTGGGTCGCGAGCCTCAAAAAAGGGCTGGGAACCCTTGAGAACTCGGGGAGCACAGAAAACTATTCAGCTTCAGTTTCATATTCAGCAAGGCGCGCTTCCCTGCAGTAATTTGAATTTCTTGCCTGGTTTCAAAAACTTGGCTACCTAGCTTTGTTACGGACACTGGGCTTTTCGGCGGTTCCAACTTGGAACCACAAACAGATGGATACCTCACTTGCTGAGTGGATGGCCCAAAAAAGTCCAAACTTTGTATTTACCACTAACATGGAAAAGTTTAAAGTTCATGAACTCAGGAAATGAGATACACCTTTCGGGCGCCGGCCTTCTTGTAGGAGAGTGACCGCCGCGGTGCCGGGCCTCAGTGCGATGCAATCGCAATGCAACCGAAATGGATGTGTCGTCAAGGGGGCCCCATGATTGTGGTTTCCCTTTGGTTTTCCTTGATTTCGGGATATCCATTTTGGTGGTTTCCCTTTCATTGTCCTAGAACCCCCCCCAATAGTGGTTTCCCTTTGGTTTTCCTAACACCCCCCCCCGCCTCCCGCCTTCCATGGTGGTGGTTTCGCCTTGGCTTTCCCAGCCCAAAGATGGTCAAACAAATTGACACGCCCAAATGTTGCAAAGGGAGAACCAACAAACCGACTTTGGTGGTGATTTACCGTAGATTTACTCGTGGTTGTTTTGGCTCTGGTTGGATAACCAAGGCAACCGTCCGGCAACTAAGGCAACCACCCCCCTTGGCTGAAAGTTGTACATCTTTCAATCCCCTAACTCCAAATCAATCTGTGGGTGTGTCGTTTTTTGTTGGGGCACCTCTTTTTGGTCGCTCTCTTATGGGACACCAAAAATGAAGACAGGACTCCCCCCCTTCAAGCGCTATTCTAACTCATCTTTCTCGGGGTTCACAAAATAGTGTTTGGGCGGGGTCAACCACAATGTTGTGTCGGACCATTTCTTCGAACGTCAGGTTCCATGTTAATTGGTGGGAGGCTAAACATCAGCGGTATTGTTCAGCTCATCATGATTGTCTGTATTCTCTATGTTCGGGCACAAGCGCCGAGAACGAATTGGTTTAATGGCAACACTTGCAGCATGCACACTGTGGACATGTTGCTTCCAAACCACACATGTTGAGCTGGGTGTTAAGTAGAACTGTGGAAAGATACGCATTCCCTGAAATCAATATTATGGGCTACTCAGCACCCAGTGAACCTCTATTAAGACACTATGTCACTTGGCCTGAAACTCCGCAAAAGTCCGAAAGGGCGAACTCTTTAAGACGCCCTCCCAGCTTTCAGCATCTCCCCCGCTGTGTTGCATGGAGCTTGGCCAAAAATGTGCTCAGAGCAAGGCTCCCTTTGGCCAGGCCGCCAGCCCCGAGCTCCAAACTCGCTGGCCCAACGGGGTTTCCCTCGACGCACCCGCCGCACGCCGAGCGGCTCCGAGTTGAGATCTCCCAAGAAGAGCAAGGCCGGGCGCCGGCCCAACCTCCGCTGGGGGCAAGCCCCTTCGGGCCATGTGAGGGCCTTGAACAAAGGCCTAAAATACGTGAGGTCTTGGGCTCCTAGGGTCTTGGGATCCATATCCACATAAGTCGCGGCGGAACAACTGGGTGTGTCCTGGTGTGTCTATTTTTGTGAGGCTGGTTTGAAGGGGATTTCAAGGGAAGGGAAAGTGGTTTCTTTCTTGGAGGCAAGCTTCCAACCACATATGTTGAAACCGCCCAACTTTTGAGGGAGAGTTTCCCCACTTTGAAGGCCAAATTCCACTCGTTTGGGAACGGCGGTTTTTTCGGGACGGTTTGGGAATGTCCAAAATGTGGTCAACCCTGGATGGGTGATGTTGGGAAGTTTGTTTGCACATGTTCTGAGCTCCCATGTTTCGAATCGAAGCAATTGATGCTGATTCACAGGTCTTGTGCGTAGGAGGATGTGGACGACTTACGCAAAACTGCTTTGCCCTCAAACATCTGCTATCGAATCCCGCTGTTTATTTTGAGACAATTGGGGATGCTCCCTCGCATCATTCTGTCAAAGCTGGCTCCGTGAAATGCTGAAGTCACTAGCAACTACACTTTTCCTGGCCATGATGATGCCATGGCCAACCAAACGCAACAATCCTTTGGACGGTGGGTGAAACCGGAAGGCTTGGCCGTGGCCCAAGGAAAAAAAACAAAACAGCTCCTTCGATGATGTCGGATGCAAAACTGGCTCACCTCCAATTCAAGACCTCATGACACTTGCCAAGACTCAGATCGTTCAGCGATCTCAACTCGGATGAATCTAGAGTGTACTGATCAGAATTGGCGGCCCCTGGGAATCGATCGGGGATTCCTCTCTACTGTTACTGGGCAAATGGGTGGGTCGCAATATATAGATCCCAAAAAATTTTGCCTTCCCTTTACCCCCCCCCCAAAAAAAAAAAACGGAACCCCCCGCACAAAGCAGACCCAAATATACCCCACATGAAACCAGAAACCTGAATTTCACCCCGAGCCTCGCTCGTTCGTTGCGCGCGCGCTGAGCCGCTGAGCATCCGGACTTCTCCTCCACGGTCTTGGAAATGAGCTCAGCCTGAAAAATCAAAGCGGTCAAACCCGGAGAACCTGCGGCTTTCCCTTTGGTCTCCCCTAGGTCCTCCAGTAGAGAGGTCAGAATAAGGGAAACAACTTTTTATGTAGTCTATCCCCCCAAAAAAGGGTCAAAGGGCACTACCGGGGCACTACTAATGATTGACCCAGAACCATCTAAAGAACTAGAAAGCGGCCGCAACGAATTCTGGCTGGGTCTTTCCCTTAGTAGCCTTCACTTACCCGGGTTTTGATTGTGACTCATGCGGTTTTCCCTTTGGTCTCCCTTTGCACCCACCCCCAAAAGGGTACCCACCAAAAAAAGGCAGACGCACATGGCCGTGAATTTTGTGAGTTGGAGCCACCTCAACACAGGGTCGAATTTGCGACATGAAGCCCCGCCCAATTGGTGTCCATCTGGGGGTCCCCTGTGTTCACGTGGCTGCGCACCCAGTTGCCCAGTGGCCCTGGTAAAAGGCCCCCCCCATTTTTGGGGGTTCATCGTTTTAGTAGGGGAACCCACCAAACCAGAGGGAGTTTCAACGGTACCTTGTTGGCCAGTACCTTATAGCGGTGAAGCCGCCAAAGGGGAGTTGGTGTTGTCTTTTCATCGGGAACCCACCTCACAAATTGTTGGACATGAATCCCCATTTGAATGATGTCCACCAAAAGGGTCAGTAATTCATCTCGCACCCCATTTAAACATGATGCTGCTGAACAAGTGTGCAAGAAATGGTTGAGAAATCACAGATCCGGACTCCTTCACGTTCTTGACCTTGGGATCAAACACTTACGGGAAAAACCGGATGGCGGCCAACGAGTGGAACCAAATCTTGATACCAGCTCCATCGATTTTCAACCACATTGACTCACAAAGAACACCTACTGCAAATGGACGAAATCCCTTCGCACCACTTTGAAACCATTGTTGCAGCCATAACGGTTTGTTGGTATTTACAAAGGGGAATCGACGCATTCCAGGGTTTCTTAGCTGCTGGCTCAAAGCCCCTTTACATGGCCCATGGTGACAAGCCCCTTTCAACCAAACAGGGCTCCCTACATGGGTATGGGTCAAAATTAAGCCACCAAGGGACCGCAGGTTTTGGTCCATGTTTCTGTTTTCCAGGGTTCCATTTTGGGTACCTGTTTTTGACCCACAGCCACATTATTTCCCCCGACATCGCCAAGAGGACTCTCATCTACACGGGGTTCAACAGGTGATATGTATCCACAAGCTGAAAAGGACAATGCGAAAATGGACGTCTGCTAATTTTTCCCAAAAAGGCTTTGTGGCGTGCGCCGCGTGCCTCTTCCAGGATGAGCGCCACTTGCAGCACCCTGATGTGCCTCGTTGCTTCTCCCAAAGTATTTGTTTTCTCCCGTGACCGTGCTCGCAAGATCGCAGGAACTACCCCTTCCCACCAAAAGTCAAAGCCGACAGGAGGATTTTCACAGAAGGGGTTTGACAGACTATCATCATCTTTAAACGGCCTGCTGTCCACTTTCTGCATGTTGGAAAGAGGGTATGTACGCCACAGTAGTCACACTGCTCCGCCAAACAAGGGAAAGCATTGCCGTTTTTTCCTTTATTTGTGTGGACTTGCGGCCAGTCGTCAAGCGCCAGCTGTCGTCAAGGCAGGTTCCTGCCTTGCAAAGCCAGCAAAGTAGAGGTGGGTGTTGCAGACAAGGATCAGGCGGCTGGTATCCTGAGAAAAAAACACCTCGCCGCTTTCTCCGATGGTCGGGGGCCCCCCAAAGACGGGACCTTTTCCCCAAAAGGAACCCGATTGGCCAATCTCTATTCGCCCCTACTGGGATTGGGCGGCCCCGATTGGCGGACCTTCCGCGGTCTCCCCGAAAAATGGCACAGGAATCCCCTCTGCACTTGTGGCCAAGAGCACTGCAAGACCCCGGAACTCGCTTCTTGAGCATTGCTTTTGGTTACCGCTGTGACAATTTGGTCGTCCAGAAAACCGAAGGCGTGCAACAAAAGTCCGATCCAGGATCGGACTTTTTGACCATAGGGTAATATACAACATTTGTTCTTAAGCAAATGGACGCCCCCTATTAATAAGCAAATGGAGGCCCCCTAATAAACTTGATCGACCTTGTTCTCTGGGACTCCACGTTTAAAATGGACGCGTGCCCAGAGCTAATTGCTCCGATGCCTTCCCGTCCTTGCGGCTCCTCAGAAGCGCGAGCTGCGCCACCGTGCCCAGCCTCGGGGACTCGGAAGTCGGAAGCAGCGCATGGCGCATGGCACGGCTGAAAAACACCGACATGCCCAAGCTGAGTTGGTCCATATCGCCTAGGTCCTCCAGTAGAGAGGTTGGAATTCGCGTGTCTTTTTGTGTTCTTCCTTTTTTTGCTGTAGTCTGTTTTAGATGGGAATCCTCCCGCAAAAAAGGGTAAAAGGGCACTACTGGGGGACCTAGTAGCCTTTACGCTAACCCAAAGGCAAACCCCGGAAATGCGTGCCCAAACAGCGATGCGGGGCAGGATCGCCTGCATAGTCAGTCATGACCACTCAGGTGACCAATCCACTGCTCTGCAGCTCTCTCTCTCTCTCTATCTCTCTCTCTCTCTCTCTCTCTCTCTCTCTCTCTCTCTCTTTCTCTCTCTCTCTCTCTCTGAGACAATGCTTTGCACGGAGCATCTGGTTCGCATGGGCTTTATTACCACAATGCCGAAGGTGAGTTGGTCAATAAAGGCTTTGCCAGACCCTCCAGGTAAACCCGGGTAGAACCACTAAAATGACCAGGCTGAGTGTTGGGAGCTGCTCATTTGGCCGCTGAAAATCAGCGTCCGCTGATTCATAGTTAGTCTATACATGTAACAACTGTTTTTTTGGAGGAGAGAAATGGGTCAAGGACAAACACCCAGGTGCCACAGGTCAAGAGATATACTTCTTCTGCGCCTGGAGTGAGCTGGCCAATGAAATACCCTTCTGTTCTTGGTGCTTTTTGAAAAACCGGGTTTTCCATGGCACATACCACCGTTGTTAGTAAAACAAATACATGATAGCCTCAAAAAGCAGGGGTATTTGGAGAAGGGGGATGCTGTTGATTCTTTCCAAGCGTATCGGTGCTTGCAGTCTCCGTGGGGGAATGCCACACCCAACCAAACCCTGAATACCCAACAACGGGAGGTGACTGACGCGTTTCCCCCATTGGGAAACAAAAAGTTGCTTTCCAAGCTATACTGAAGACTCACAGCCGTTTTGGACCCTTATCTCAAACGCAACAGCTCCAGACCAGACTGTTGCCTAACGCCCAAAAGTATCCTCCCTCCCACGCTGCCATGGCACCTGACAGGGGGTCCCTTGAAAAGGAAAGCAAACATCCAGGTACCCTCCCACAAATGTTGTGTTTGCGGGAGGAAGGGTAGTATGCTTGATTCTGGTCCATATTTAGCGAACTTAACAATGCACCATCGTGTCAAAAGAGTTCTCAGCCCCCAAAGAGACTGCGAATGCTCCAGCCAAAAGACCGTGCGAGCAGATTTGCCGCGGCTCAGCGGTTTCTGCGGTTGATCGTCTGGGGCTTTCAAGCTCAACTCTTCAGCAGCGCCCGTTTCATACAGCCAGGTATTGTTGAACCCATATTCATCAACCCCAGTTTACTAAAGCGATGTTTCCCCACTAAACCCAGTGACACCCCCCGTTTCAGAAACAGGGGTTGATTAATATGGGGTCAACATTAGACAGGGCCCAGTAGCATAATCGAAGCCAAAACCGTTCACAGAGCAGTGCCCAACAGCTATGAACTGTTGTGCTTCTACCAAGATGGCCATGGTTTCGAAACATCAACAAAACACAAACCAAGCAGTAAAACCACCTACCTTGGAACTTCAGCCCTAAACTGGAATTACCTTGTTTCCTTATTCAATTCACATGGGGATGTCTATGTTTTCGTCCCAAGCGTCGACCCAGCACAGCTTTAGGATGCCGCGCCGCGGGAAGATGTCCTCTAAGTCCTCGAGAAAAAGACAAACACAAACACGACCGAGACACAAAACACATCTGGGTGCCTTCCCTTCTCCTCTCTCTCTATTCCTTCCTATGTCACTCCGGAAAGAGCGAGTGAAGGAAGGTGACATGAAGTCTTTATTTGTCGGGAACCGTCAAAATGGTGGAGATCCCGAATTCCTAGTAGTGCCCTTCATTTTTTTTGCACATAAAAACAGAGGCAACCTCTAAACAACAAAACAAATCAAAAACAGGGGTAACCTCTATGAGCCCCCCCCCCAAAAAAAAAAAGAAGAAAGGATCTGGGTTTCCTATGTTCACCCTTAACACATCACCCCTTCCAGCCACCAAAGGAAAAACGTAACTTGGTGCCCAAAGGGCGATGATTGAAGCTGCGGTTTCGGCCAGAACTCGACCCAAAACAACCAACGCTGGAGCCCTGGAAAAAATGGGAACCCCAAAGACATGTCTTCAACAACTTGAGTCAACCAGGTCGGTTCATATTTGTGGGTTCATCAACAAGGTCCGTGAAACATGGGATGACCATCAGTGAAACCACAAGCAAAGAGGACTTTCACCACTACATGATAGACAAGTCACCCATTATCATGGTCAAAAGAGGACTCTCACCACTAAGTGATGGTCATTTGGGGGCCCATGGAATATTTCTAGTGCTGCCTTCCCCATTCTCTCCAGGGATCCTTCTTTCTAGAAAACCTCCGGAAACCCAGGGAAACGGCCGGTTTTTGAAAAGAACGATGAGTGAAAAGAATGGAAAAAGGAATCAACCCTTAGAATATTGATATCACCCCCCCACTTCGCCACAAAATGACGGACTTGCACCACAAAATGATGGAAAAGTGAGCTAGCCATGGTCATTTTGGGGCCCTAAAAGGAACATTGATATCACCCCGTCCGGTTTCACCCAGCGCCTTCCCTCGGAATCCGAGGCCCCAGCCGGCAGACGCCCCATGAGCGCCCCCACGGCGGAGTCTGCGGAGGGCAGCGAAACCGCCTGCGGGGCTGGGGATTCCCTTGGCGCCATTTCCCATATCGAACTTCAAGGCTTGAAACGTTCCGGCGCGTCCATGGTCATTCCTGGATTGAAGAATGTCATTCCTGAAGCAGGATAAGAATGCGCTTCAGGATTGAAATGTCCCCTTCATTCAGGAGTGAATGCAGGCCCGAATGAACCTTTAGCCGCTTTGGATCCGCCTACTATTTCTACTCTGGAATTTGGTCAGATGCGCCAAAAAGAACAGCAAAGAAGAGAGTCAACTACTCCGGGGCAGACCAACATGGCGGCGAACTTTAAAGGCATGGGGTTGGTTCTGCTTCAGGAGACTGCTCATCTTTCTCCGGCAAACATGGGATTGGGGAAAACCACCAAAAGGATGATATGTCCCACTTGAATGGGAAAGGTTACCCATGGTCATTTGGGGGCCAGGAATACCCCCAGATGAACACGGAACCCAAAAATCGAGGAAGCGACTCTTTTGGGGACCCTTTTTTTGGTTCCATGTTGATTTGCAGGGGAGAAATTAGAATGGGGTTGTGGGGTAGATCATTGCATAATCATGGTATTCAGCCCCTCATAGTAGGGTAGAATCAGACCACATTCCATCATGATCATCGATTCTATAGCATAAGGTCTATTGAGAGATTTTGAGGATAGGATGGGTTTGGGACGTTGTTTCCTACATCACGGGGGACAATTTGGTGAAACCCCAGCCGACCAGCTAAGAAACCTAGCAACACTGAACTGGCAACAAGAGAGCAACACAGCAATTGTCACTGAACAAGCTACTCCCCAACAAGAAAAGCTGTCCTTTCCACAGGTCCTAAGTCCTACGTTTTTGTTGATGCAACAAACCATGTCAGAAACGTGCGCAGCCACTCAGCACCCAAGGCCCGTCCATCAGCTTCGGCTTAGGGCTCTGAGTCAAGCACAAATGTTGGTGACTTTTTTCAACCGGCCAATTCTAGGTCGTCCAGTAGAGAGGTTAGAAGAAGGGTACCAACTTTCTTCTGTAGTCTATTTTAGTAGGGGAACCCTCCGAACCAAAAAGTTTGTAAAAGGGCACCGCTGGGGGACCTAGAATTGGTCCGGAAGTTCCTTGCCTCAGATGCCCAGTGGATTTCCATGAAAAACGGGCCACCCTTTATTGTTGGATGAGTTTAAAGGGATCGGAACCCTTACCCCAACAAAGTTGAAAAAAGGGCGGAATCCACTGGGCAACAGAGTTGTAGCTGTGACCCAAAGTGGAATTCGTGAGGGCCCCATGAAACTAGGATCCTCAAAATTGTTCTGAAAACCAGAACGAGTTATCAGTCTACAGGTCAATCGAATCTCCCAGGTAGCGGAGTAGCGGGAAGAAACAGCTGCTTTTTGGCATCCGCTGGTTCCCAAAAGATCCATCGTGTATCGACACGCAAAGGCCTCGTCTAGACCCCGATCTTTGGCGGTCGGTGATCCGGTTTGCTACGTCCATGTGGTCGTGAAAAGGAAAAGGAGCGAATGCCTGGTCCATGCAGGACTGAGCGGGCACCATCATCCAAACACTTGTCAAAATAATCAAGCAAATCTCGGCGTTGCAGCAAGCAAAAGAATTTGTGATATGTACGACACTTCCAAACCTTCTTGTTCATGTCTGTCACCGCTTGCTGTAACTTCTCGCGCAAGCGTGATTCATCGATGACTTCCGCACGCTCTGCGTTTTCCTTTTGCCGTGTTTTCTTGTTCTTCGACTTCCGCGTGGAGGTACATTGGTTCCAGCGAACTTCCACTTCTGCCCATTCCTTTCTGAGCTTTAACTCCTGCCATGCTTGGTCGACGAGCTCTTTGCCCAGGAGATCTTCTGAAATCCAGCGCTTCGTTGCTTCGACGTGCCGCAAATACTTCATAGCTTTTGCAAGCAACTCCTGTGCTCGACTCAGCACTTCATCTTCTTCACGCCCAAATTCAAGGCAATGCACAAAATCCTCTTCACTTACATGCAGCAGAGACTCAGAACATATCCCATGCTGACGCAGTGTGGCTACAGCAAAGTCTTCTGCTGCTGAATCTGTGGCGAAAGCAGTTCCTATCTGTAGCAGTGTCTGCTGGAGGAGCAACTCCTCATCACACAACGCTGGGGGGAAAGAAAATGGTAAAGCAACACTCCGTCCAAGATGTTTCCGATCAATGCGCAGGTCCAAACCTAGATCATCAGACACTTCCAGAATCCGTTCGATCATCTCCGCGCTGTCCACCATGACAACATTGGCTGACTCTGAGTAGGGATGCTGGCAGTCAAGGCAACCCATATTCTTAGCAATGAAGGCTACCGGCTCCAAACGCTGTGCCTTCTGGGTGTATCGCATCAAATCGTCTTCGGTGAAGGCCGGAAGTCGCTTGCTCAAGAGACCTCTGTAGACACTCTCATCATGAGCTTGACGCCCCGGAAGTGAAGCCGCCCTGGCCCAAGGATTGTCCAATGTAATGCAAAGATGCAGCCCTTGACAAACATCAATGACACCACCTGGCAAGACCCACGGAAGAATCACGCGCTGCTTTTGGTAGAAGGTCTGGTCTGGCAGTGGGTATGCCAAAAAGGCACATGGGTACAGAGACCGTTCTCTTGTGGTCGTAAAACGGTGGTGCTCGGCTACCGTCGCAGAGATGTACAAAGGGAAGCTGTATGCAGGTGAAATGAAGTGGAGTGCCCGGTCGCGGTCCACACGCATCAGGTCTGGAAACTGGCTTGGCCCAAATGTGCACACGATGAGTTTTTGCAATGCTGCAAACTCCCACCGGTTGATGACGTAGCCATTGTTTTCAATATACCACTGTGCAGAGGCTGCAAAGCGGCTTCGCCCAATCAACCTGTCAGCAAGTATGAAGACTGCCCTCCGGATGCTTGCCCTCATGTCAAGAGGAATACTCGTCAGCAGTGCTTTGCCAATACTTGCCTTCAACTCATCTGTGTTGTGCAGGAAATCTGTCCAATACGGAGGATCAATGTTCTTCAACGAATGCTCCCAATGCGCAGAATTTGGTGGCATCAATTCCAATCTGCTTCGAGTGGTCTCCCATCTATCCAACGCAGCTGTGAGGCCTTGCAGCTCCTTCTTGCTTGGGAGGTCAAAGCTGGTAGACAAACTCAAGGTCATGCATCGAGGTGAAACGGTCACATGGTCACATGCGACTACTAACAAATCCTAGGCCGAGTTTGAACCTGGTAAGCAACTCGCAAGTCCCAATGTCAACGTAGACGATGGCACATTGATGGGCTTATGTCAGCTATCATTTCCCCTGTCTCACTCCCGATCGAGTAGATTGGCCAGAAAAAGCAACCAAACGTTTTGTTTACCACTAAATATGGTCCAACCCCAAAAAGTTCAAAGTCCAGGCACTCACGGTGTGAGCTATGGAGGTTTGGGGTTTAGGGTTTAACCACAGAAAATCCAGGCCCACGCCTTTCATAGATTATATTCTGATTCATACATCTTTTACCCGAAAACATCACATCGAGGTGGAGGCCCCAAATATCCTCTGAACAAATTTTGTTCAGAGGATATTTGGGGCCTCCAACACGACTTGATGTCTTCGGGTAAAACAAAAAAAGAGCTCGAATAATGGAACCTGTCTGGCTGTCTTTGAAGATCTGGGCAACTTTTCCCTTCTGGAAACTCCAGCTGGGGATAGGACCCCAAACGTTCGGTCTGCGTTGGGACCTCAGAAGGCTTCAGTGTTCTTACGCCACCCGGACAAAAATACGGCACTAGGTCCAGTAGTGATAGTTTCCCTTTCACATCAACAGGAGGGGATAAAAACATATTGAGCACATGGTTTGGCATGCTGTCCTTTCAACTAAGGCTTTGCAACTTTGCGGCAACAGATCCAAACGCGCACTATTCGAATCCGCACTACCTGTTGATTGAGACACTGGTCCGGTACAAAACTCATCCGTTAGATCGAACATGGGGGTGACCGTTGTTGGCACATATGGTGTTTCTGTGGGGAAGTAAAGGGGATGACTAAACCCACATCCCGACTGTACCCCCTCCCAATTGCAGCTGTACCATATCCCACTTTATTGGAGAACCACACCCCATGTTTGCCGACCGGTTCATCGGGATCTCTTTGGTTTGGGACCCAAAGTGGGGCATATGACAGTGCCGAGTCATGCTACACTGGAAGTGAATCCCAATCAACTCCTCGTCAACGTTCCGGTATTTGGGTGGCTCGTCCTTTTTTTGAGGGACACCTGTTTTTGGTGGTTTTAAATGGGAAGAGGACAAAGACCCGCTTTGGGGCTCCCCTAGAAAAAGACACGCTCATCTTCCCCAAGTGCGAACCGCGGTCCGCTCTCCCCTCTCCTAGCTTTGCCCCGAGCCCTCGAATGATCTATTCACTTACCTTGGGGCCAAGTTGCTGGCAAATATATGCGCCACAGAAAACTTCGTTGCAGAAGGCAAGCCCTTTTTCCCTTGGCTGAGTGCTTGGAACTCCCCCATGGGCTTCGAGTTTCTAGATTTCCCTCACAGCAAAGTGGCGCTCAGCAGGGGTTTCCCACGGCTCTCTCGGGACGAATGGCTTTTCGACTTTTCGGGGCCTCGGATCCGTCCACCTGAATGACCCCACTCCTGGCCGGCTCGCTGTGCACCGCGGGACGTTTGGACAAACATGTTGCGCCCATACTGTGGATGGACTCGAATTCCGAACTCGCACCACTTTGAAACCACGGTGAAAGCCGTTGTTTGTGGGTATTCACAGGGGAATCATCATACCAGGGTTCCTTAGGTGGTGCAGGATTTCGTCCCTCCACAGTATTCATCAACCCCAGTTGGTTAACGGGGGGGGTGTCCCTCGGTTTATTGGGGAATCATCACTTTTGGAGGGGAACACCCCCCAAATTAGTAAACTGGGGTTGATTAATATGGGATCAACGACTTGTCCAGAAACCCCTGAGGTCAAATGTCGCACTGGGCATCGATGTTTTTGCCGAGCAAACCTCCACTTCCTGTCAGTTCAAGGGAAGACGCTGGCTGGTTTTCTTCTAAGAGGTCGCTTGGAACAAAGACTCAACACAACTCAAACTGTTGCAGCTATGAAAGTACCCGCGGTTCCGGGAGCACAGGGGTTTTGGAGGTCTCAACATCGTGTCCAGCCCAAACGAGCCGGTCGGAAGGGTGCCATGCAGCAATGCTACCATTCCACCTCCAAACTGGGGCCCGACATCCTTTAGCTCCCTTTCAACCCACTCCCCTCAACATAAACAAGGGTGTGAGAAGCAAAAACATAATGTTGACCGTCACCTGTCAGATAAATTGGGGGTGCTTGGTGCTTTCCTTTTAAATGGAAGCAACATCCACTGCTCATCAACCAGGGGTTCAATTCGAAGTTCCTCAGTGAGTGATTTATACTGTGGAAGGAGAAAATCCTACACCACCTAAGAATATTCCCCTGAGTTCTCCAGTTTCAAAGTGGTGCGAGTTCGGATTTCAGTCCATCCAGAGTATTCAGTCTACCCTATGCAAAATCGCATTGGATCGGTCATTGCGACCTTTTAGTCTACCACATCAGCTTCGCCTTGGTTGGTGGCTTGGATTGGTTTCGGCTTTGAACCCCAGTTCCTTTCGAACCCAAATGGGGAAGGCTCCCATCCAATCCACCAAACCACGGATTAGGGGGAAGCTGACCCATCAAAAATGCCTTTTGGCAGCCCGGACCCGAGCCCCTATATCCCTTTCTTTCCTGCCTTTGACACACATAAAAGTGGAACAAAGGCCGAACAACGGGCCTTTGGGGGTCCAGGTGGCCAAGGAACAACGGGTACCCCACCCTTCCACCAATATGTCACCCAGCACGAACATGTCCGAGTTTTCTTTGGGCGGAGCTTGTTTACTAGTAAAACTTGGGCTCGACCATGTTTTACTCAAAGCCTATGTTTTACTGGCAGTCCATTGTTGCTCAAGCTGCCAAACTCCGGCTTTCATACGCATATAGCATCCGCCCTTCCCCCCCTCTCCCTGTCATCTACCCTCTCCAGAAAGGAAACCAAAGTGCCCCCCTTTTCCATCCAAAAGGAGCAGGGTTTCTGTGGCCCCTCTTCCCCTCCACCCCCTGCAGTATACCCTGCTCTTTAGTTTTTAGGGTAAGAGTTTTATACCCAAATATTTTGGGTATGAGTTTCACACCCCGATAAACAACTTGTGTTTTTCCTCAATGTAATTCTAACAGCGGGTGTGAGGAGGGTGGTTGCTGTTCAATAAGAACAAGTGAAACACAATCAGAACCAAGCTAAATACCGTGAAGCCCTGTGCGAACTCCGCAAGCACCCTGAGCGAACACCGTGAGAACCCCGTGAACACTGAATACCGTGAATAGCCCTTGAGAACTCCGTGAAAAACCACCGTGAGAATACCGTGAAAACCCCGTAAAAATACTGTGAAAACCTCATGAAAACCCACTGAACAACCATTCTTTACCAGGTCAATATATTCATGGCCGTCGACTCCATTTCAAGCACCAATTCAATGATTTTGGCCAGCTACAGGTGTGACAGCCGCAATACGAGTGTTTGTGCAAGCAGTCTATTTTCGCACATTAGTTCTGACTGCAGTTGATACGCGCACGATCGTGCGTAAGCCATATGCTGGTTGGCTTATTATGTTCTAAATGTCAGGCGTGAAGATTGCTTTAATCATGAAGATGGAATCAGACAGATAGAATGAATGAGCCGAAGATGCATGGACTGTTCAACACGTTTCTTGGCTGGAAGGGTTCAAAACAATGGCTGGTTTAAACTTGCGATCGTCGTCGGCACTAAACAATTGCAAGGACGGTGCACCGTGAAAGCCGTGGGCTGCTGGTGTGTGCAGCACGTTTCCACTGCCCAATCCTCAAGATCGAAATTTGGGTCGCCCATTTAACACAGGTAGGTTCTGACTTCACTTAGGCGACCCAATAATACCGGTCGTTCTGACTTTACGCGACCAAAGAAAACTTAGTTTTTGGAAGTATTGGGTCACCCGACAGCCGAGAGCGAATCGACCTTTCCGGTGCCCACAGTAGCTATGTTTGTGGACAGGAGGGTACCCCGTAACCCCTCCCCCCCGCCAAAAAAAGATCAGAGGTTGGTCAAATGCAAAAATGGGTACCCCCCCCTCCCCCCCCCCCCCCCCCAAAACAAAAACAAAAGCAAAAAAACAAACAAGAAAGCAAAACAAAAAACAGCAGCAACAACGACCGAAGAGGTACCCCGGAGCCTCCCAAAAACGAGACCCGCGCGCGCTTCAAGCGACTCACTCCTGGGCCGTTCGCAGAGCGGCAGCTCCTCGAGCTCCAGAACTTCGAAGGCCTCCGACATCGACCGTCGCGACCCAAACCCATCGGTCGCAAAACGCCGTGAATCCAACCCGGGAGAGGGCTCCGGGTGAATTTCTTGGGGAGGGGGCTAGACCCAAAACTTCTGGGGGGGCTGAGACTTGGGGTGGGCCCAAAATTTCCGGAGGTCCCGGGGTTGAGACTCGAAGTTGGCGCCGGGAGAGGGCTGCCACTGGTTTCAGGCGGGACCCGCCGGCCTCATCTTTGACCAGCAGAAGGCAGCCTTCCACCGAATCAGAGGCCTGCCGAGCGAGGGTTTTATCAGCAAGCCATGAGCTTGACTTGAGCTGTGCGGCCTGTTGAACCTATTGCAAGTGGCTCCAGTTACATGGGTATTTCGTAGGGGTTTGGACCAGCAAAACGGTGGCTTTCCTGTTCATTCCTTTGGGTGTCCTCTTATCCGGGCCTGAAACGGGTACCCTCAAAAACATACATGCATTTGTACATACATATATATATAATATTTGTACATATATATATATACATATACACATATTAAGTCCCAAAACTCCTGTGCCGATGGGAAACCAGGCACACCATGGCGTACCTCTATTGGAAGTTGCTCACCTCTGCAGGTCTGAGGCTTTTTGAAAAAAATATATCTTCGCAAACAGCTGGTGCGGCAGTTAACCACAAACCACAGTATTGACTGTGAGTTCTACTCTACTGATATGGTTATAAGGGTTTACACATGCCTCAGCAATTTCTCGCCCTGAAGCCCAGCTAGTAAAACCGCCTAAGGCGGTTTTCACACGAGTTTGAGGCGCTCACATGGTTTCCCAAACCGGTGTTCTACCCGGTGTTCACCTGTTCAGAACGGAATCTGTCTATGGTTGGCTTCCTGGTTTCCCTTGGACCTTGGAAATTGAAGCAAAGGGCCCCGACCTCGGGAAGTCCAAACCCAGTTTTGGACCAACACCTGGTGTGAACCAACAAAAACAGCTTCAACAGGGGTCGAACAAAAGGAGCCATTCCCCAAACGAGGGGCCAAGCTCACTTCCGAACACCTGCTACTTGCAGAGGTGAGATGCGTCACTCTGTGTGCCTTCTTTGTGAAGACGCAGCGGTAGCCGTCCATCTCGAATTGTGGCTTCCAATACTCCTGGGAAAAGGAGAGGACACAATACTATTGTCGTCCCAAGGCATGATCCGGCCTAGAGTCAATCTGGGTTTATTTCAAAGGTAAGCAAAACAAACATGGCAGGTGTCCTCTTTGTCTCCCTTGAAAAACCATCCAACAGGGGCCCGGTCGCAAGTGGTCCCATAATGCATATATATATATATACACACGGAGAATCAGCACCTCTCTGACGGTCTGGCTGCACCAATGCGCCATTTTGCTTATGCCATGGCAGGCTGCAAAGGTGCATTGAAGGGGTTGCTGCTTTTCGGCATCGTGGTGGCCTCCTTCCGGAAAGGATTCGTGTCTGGCCTGCGCGACAGCTTTCGCTGGTGCGGAAAGCCAGAAGCAAGAATATGGCCATGGTTGGCATAACCTCTGGCGATCCCATTTTGGGGTGGATGAACGTCTATTTGCCACCTATTTTGATGTTCACCAGGGGTTTCCTGGGTTTTGACCCACAGCCATATCAGATTTGCCCTTTTAGTCTTTGCAGCTCAGCTACCCGCACCTGAAGTAACACCAGGAGTTCAACACTTTTCCGCTAGGTTTGCTAGAATCTGACACGCTCCAATCGCCATACACCTGTCACCACAATGTACGAGGCAGTGGAAAAGGCCAGGCAAGATGGAGCCAGCTGATGACAGTCGTCCGCGTCTGCTACTAGGAACCTCGATAAATAACCACCTGGTTGATCAACAGGGGGGTGTCACCCTCTTAATGAGGATTCGAATCACTTTTGGACCTATTCAGCAGAAACCAATGCCACCATGAGGTTACACTTGCCGGAACCCTTCAACCCGAACAGGCTCAGGATTCCGAAAAAAGGCACATAGGAATGTTGAGGTACCTCAAACCGAATGGCCTTGCCAGGTAGAGGCATATACGTAGGCAAAACAAACGTCTGGCACGCAAGAAGGCCTTGCAAAGGAGACACCCCTCAAATCAATGATGACAACAGTGGGTTATATTATAATATGGGGAATGTTGATTGCCCGAAATGGTGTTTCAGGGACTCATGCCCACCAATCACTTTTGAGGTTAGCAGATAAAGAAAACTAGACAACGAGTGGCCCGGAAGCATAGAGGCAAGTTGATGCAGGTGAGGTAACTCTCGCAAAGTTAGCATGAGGAGTTGGCAGGCGAAGCAATTCTCAAAAAGTTGGCATGAGAAGCTGGCAGGTTAAGTAACTCTCGAATAGTTGGCTGGCAAAGTTGGCGGGTGAAGTAATTCTCGCAAAGTTGACATGAGAAGTTGGCAGGCGAAGTAACTCAAGAGAAAAGTTGGCATGAGAAGTTGGCAGGTGAAATAACTCTCAAAGAGTTGGCATGAGAAGTTGGCAGGTGAAGTAACTCTCGAAAAGTTGGCGTGAGAAGCTGGCAGGTGAAGTAATTCTCGAAAAGTTGGCACGAGAAGATGGCGCGTGAAGTAACTCTCGAAAAGTTGGCAGGCGAGAAGCGCAGGTGAAGTAATTCGAAAAGTTGCACGAAGTTGGCAGAAAGTATTTCTCGAAAAGTTTGGAATGAAGTTGCGAAAAGTTGGCACGAGACAGGTAAAGTATTTCTCGAAAAGTTGGCTGGCAGGTAAAGTAATTCTCGAAAAGTTGGCATGAGAAGCTCGCAGGTGTAGTAACTCTCGAAAAGTTGGCATGATAAGCTCGCAGGTGAAGTAACTCCTCGAAAAGTTGGCACGAGAAGTTGGCAGGTGAAGTAACTCTCGAAAAGGTGGCATGAGAAGCTGGCAGGTGAAGTAATTCTCGAAGTTTCGGCATGAGAAACTGGCAGGTGAAGTAATTAACCCTCAAAAAGCTGGAGCGGCGGAGGCGCTCCGCGTGCTACATTTGCAATTTACAGTTGCGATTTTCCAGCCATTTGTATCTAAAAGTTGCGATTTTCCAGCCGGAGCTGCGGGAGCACGCTCCGCGTACTACGTCTGTACTTAAAAAGTGCGATTTTCCAGCCGGAGCTGCAGCAGCCTCCGCGTACTACGTCTGTACTTAAAAGTTGCGATTTTCCAGCCGGAGCTGCAGGAGCACGCTCCGCGTACTACGTTTGTACTTAAAAGCTGCGATTTTCAAGCCGGAGCTGCCGCGGACCAGGGGGGAATCGAACCCGGGACCGCGGGATTGCGAAAGCAGGCGCGCACACCACGAGACAACTTCCAAAAGCCGTTTCGCGAGCAAGAAAATCGCACGGCGCCACAGCGAGAGCGATCCGACACGCACGATCCCCGCAGAGGGTTCATCGGGCTCAAGACAAATTCGCACGGCGCCACAGCGAGAGCGCTTCGACACGCAGGATCTCCGCAGAGGGTGTTGGCGTGAGAAGCTGGCAGGTGAAGTAATTCTCGAAAAGTTGGCACGAGAAGATGGCGCGTGAAGTAACTCTCGAAAAGTTGGCGCGAGAAGCCGGCAGGTGAAGTAACTTTCGAAAAGTTAGCATGAGAAGTTGGCAGGCGAAGTAATTCTCGAAAAGTTGGCGCGAGAAGTTGGCAGGCGAAGTAACTCTCGAAAAGTTGGCAGGCGATGTTGGCAGGTGAAGTACCTCTCGAAAAGTTGGCATGAGAAGCTGGCAGGTGAAGTAATTTTTCGAAAAGTTGCCACGAGAGGTTGGCAGATAAAGTATTTCTCGAAAAGTTGGCATGAGAAGTTGGCAGGTGAAGTAATTCTCGAAAAGTTGGCAGGTGAAGTTGCCACGAGAGGTTGGCAGGTAAAGTATTTCTCGAAAAGTTGGCATGAGAAGTTGGCAGGTAAAGTAATTCTCGAAAAGTTGGCATGAGAAGCTCGCAGGTGTAGTAACTCTCGAAAAGTTGGCATGATAAGCTCGCAGGTGAAGTAACTCCTCGAAAAGTTGGCACGAGAAGTTGGCAGGTGAAGTAACTCTCGAAAAGGTGGCATGAGAAGCTGGCAGGTGAAGTAATTCTCGAAGTTTCGGCATGAGAAACTGGCAGGTGAAGTAATTAACCCTCAAAAAGCTGGAGCGGCGGAGGCGCTCCGCGTGCTACATTTGCAATTTACAGTTGCGATTTTCCAGCCATTTGTATCTAAAAGTTGCGATTTTCCAGCCGGAGCTGCGGGAGCACGCTCCGCGTACTACGTCTGTACTTAAAAAGTGCGATTTTCCAGCCGGAGCTGCAGCAGCCTCCGCGTACTACGTCTGTACTTAAAAGTTGCGATTTTCCAGCCGGAGCTGCAGGAGCACGCTCCGCGTACTACGTTTGTACTTAAAAGCTGCGATTTTCAAGCCGGAGCTGCCGCGGACCAGGGGGGAATCGAACCCGGGACCGCGGGATTGCGAAAGCAGGCGCGCACACCACGAGACAACTTCCAAAAGCCGTTTCGCGAGCAAGAAAATCGCACGGCGCCACAGCGAGAGCGCTTCGACACGCACGATCTCCGCAGAGGGTTCATCGGGCTCAAGACAAATTCGCACGGCGCCACAGCGAGAGCGCTTCGACACGCACGATCTCCGCAGAGGGTTCGCCAAGGTCAAGACAAATTCGCACGGCGCCACAGCGAGAGCGCTTCGACACGCACGATCTCCGCAGAGGGTTCGCCGCGTCAAGACAATTCGCACGGCGCCACAGCGAGAGCGCTTCGACACGCACGATCTCCGCAGAGGGTTCGCCGCGCTCAAGACAAATTCGCACGGCGCCACAGCGAGAGCGCTTCGACACGCACGATCTCCGCAGAGGGTTCGCCAAGGTCAAGACAAATTCGCACGGCGCCACAGCGAGAGCGCTTCGACACGCACGATCTCCGCAGAGGGTTCGCCAAGGTCAAGACAAATTCGCACGGCGCCACAGCGAGAGCGCTTCGACACGCACGATCTCCGCAGAGGGTTCGCCGGCTCAAGACAAATTCGCACGGGGCCACAGCGAGAGCGCTTCGACACGCACGATCTCCGCAGAGGGGTGCGTTTCGTAAGCTCCCGTCGGGCCTACCCCCGCCATAAAAAGAAGAAGAATTAAGAGTCGAGAAGTGAAGGTAGAACAGAAAAGTTAGCTTGTGTTTTTAGGATAGTGAAGTAACACCCGACAAATTAGCTTGTGCTTTTAGTAGAATGAGATAACAGCCGAAAAGTTGACATGAGAAGTAGGCAGGTGAAGTAACTCTCGACAAGTTGGCATGAGAAGTTAGCAGGTGAAGTAACTCTCGACAAGTTGGCATGAGAAGTTGGCAGGTGAAGTAACTCTCGACAAGTTGGCATGAGAAGTTGGCAGGTGAAGTAACTCTCGACAAGTTGGCATGAGAAGTTGGCAGGTGAAGTTGGCAGCCGCTTTTAGAAGAAGAACCCTTCGCAATGCTTCCGGGAATAATCAAACCCCCAACAGCTGCGCACACGTACACACACACACACACTATACTCACCAATGTCTGTAAGGGTTTGCTGAATCCGTCCACCTTCGGTACGTGTCTTAAAATAGGGGACACCGACGAATTCGTTGTAGTTTCACGTTGCTTCCTCTTGGTTTCCCTTAAGAAACCACTCCAAAAAGGTGCCCTCGTAGAAAGACGCATCCATTCAATCCCCCGGCCGAAGCCGCCGCGAGAAGCGGGGGATTCGAAGAACTGGCCTCCCGAAGGGCCTTTCCTTGGCTCAAAAAAACTGGAGGGTTTGGCACTTCCGATCGACTTCCGGTCGAGTAAACTGTTGGTTTTGCCGCTGAAACGGTCTTCCCAAAAAAGTGTGAAGTCCAGGAACTCACGGAGTGAGACAACTCCCCCCTAGCTTTGGATGTCTAAAAAAGATCTTGGGTTTACCCCCTACTCCAATTACCCGGCTTTGTTTAAAGAGTAGTTCTTGGAAAACGTGGTTCCCCAGAGTAAATGCCTCCTTTTTAGTACGGGTTGACATGATACCCGTAAAAAAAGGTGTTTGGAGTGGGGGGTAAACTAAAACCAACATGGCTTCGGGTTGGTTTAGAGTTGGTTTAGGGACGGTTTAGTGCTGGTTTGAGTGGGTTTAAGGTTGGTTTGGGG